CTGGGGTGAAACTGGGGACAAGACCCCACACCAGCCGTGCCAGCCATCAGTTGCCTCCCACACTGTCACGCTAGCCCGACTAAACACCTGGACCACTGGACTAGCTCTCTAAGCTTTTTAACCTTTCAACAATCTCCTTAAATGGACTTCCCCAACCTTGTGACATGCTGATTTCCCCTTTTAGGCTACGTTTATATGATGACGGTCTGAACAGAAGACGGGAAAGTGGCGTCGTGTCTTCACTTTTTATTCCACATTTAGACGAGCGTTTTTGGGAGGAAATCTGTGTGCATACGGTGACGCAAAAGTGTGTCGAATTCGATTATGTTTGCATGCCAATCGGCTCGGTGGTGATGCTAGTTGGTGATGTATGTGACCTAAACACGTACACGATGTGAGCAGATCTGACCAGGGTTTTGCATCTTGGGCAGTGTAGACGGAAATGCTATGGTGGAGCGTATACAGCTTTTTTAGTCTGGAGGATAGTTTCAGATTTTTGCATTTTTAAGCCCCAAAAACACCGTCACCGTCTAAACGAAAGGCACTTCCAATAAAATACTTTGTCGTTTGTTCTCGTGTAAACAGCCCCTCACTCCTTGTTGTAGTGTCTTTGTTCAGACGAGGTCCTCGGGCAGTCCGTATCGGCCGCTCTGTGGGTGAAAATGGGGCACGCTGGGGACAAGGCGCCACACCAGTCATGCCGGTCATCGGTTCCCTGCCACGGAGTCAAGTTAGCCCGACTAAACGCCCGGACCCCTGGACTCTCTAAGCTTATAATAAACTTCTTAACAGACTTCCCCCACCCTTGTGACATGCTGATTTCCCCTTTTAGGCTACGTTTATATGATGACGGTCTGAACAAAAGACGCAAAAGTGGTGTTGCGTCTTCACTTTTTATTCCTTGTTTAGACGAGCGTTTGCAGGAGGAAACGGTGAAGCAAAAGTGTGTGGAATTCGATCGGGTATGCTTGCCAAGTTTATGTGCACTGTATGTATATGACGTAAACGTGTACACGACGTGAGCAGATCTGACCAGAGTTTTGCGTCTTGGGCAGTGTAGACGGAAACGCTACGGCGGAGCGTATTCAACTTTTCCACTCTGGAGGGTGGTTTCAGATTTTTGCGTTTTTAAGCCCCCCAAAAACGCCATCACCGTCTAAACGAAAGACAGTTCTGATCAAATACTTTGTCGTTTTTACCCACAAGTGTTCTGTAAACAAGGCCCTGAAATCAAACGGCTGTGGATCACTGCAAATAAAACCCTTAAAACTAAACTCGGCTGTCCATCATTCTCCGGTGATCCACAATACCTGCTGTGTGGGGCGGTCAAAACCTTAGGGCGCGTTACACAAGCATCTTCATCATATTTATTTGTTTCACCTTAGAGGCGTGCCCACTCACAGTAAGAACACATTTTTTTTCTTAAGCAATACTGCCACATCGCAAACTCAATTTCGGGACTTTTTTTTTTTTTTTTTTCAATCGATGCATTTCAAACCTGCAACCCTCTGGCCAACACTGCATGAACTTTATCTCAACTGGAATTTTACCCTTTTTTACACCTGCAAATTTAATTCAACCTTAGTAACAGATAGAAAAAAAAAAAATAAATAAATCACAAAGCTTTCATTCAAACTGTCCTGGTACGCTCTCGACCTGTTAGCATTTGAGTCATGCTTTTTAGCCGTGGCTGTCTTTCATTGCGTTTTGTTACATCATCTTAATTTAAAATTATTTTCACGATCTCAAGAGAAGAATGGAGTTTTTTAAGTTGGAGGTATACGCTAGAGGATTGTCTCCTTTTTGATTCTGATCTGTTTTTATTCCAAACCCCACGAGGAAAAACTCAGAATAATCCAACACGCAGCTCCTCCGGGGTGGAATGGTGGAGGAATGGGGACATCTAGTGGAAGACGCGAGTACTGCAGGTGTCCTTCAGCGACTGTGGATTTGGAATTTGATTTGGTATTTTTTAAATGTAGAAGTTTTAAAGAGTGAGTCAGACTGCACTAAAAGAGTTTATTTTGTTCTAGAAAGTAAGAAAGTACAAAAGAGCATGAGCGGTGTCTTGTGAGGATTGGACAAAATCTTACAACTAAACTTAAAGAGGGTTCGAATAGGGCCCGGGAGAGATCACAAGATTACTCAGACATGCACGGTCGGCATCTTAAACCCCTTCAGGCATGTTTTTCACGAGAGAACAACAAAAAAAGCTGCAAAAAATACTCAATTTTTAACCTGCAGATAGAGATACATTCAAGTTTTTCTCATTCTCAGTTTATGGACAGACCTCATGTGAAGCTTAGAACCTCCAGAATTCAGTCATTCAGCCGCAGATGCTGCACTAGCACTGATTCATGATTGGCTCCGGATGGTGGGGTTTAGGTAGTGACTATGGAAGTAACGATATCCACATTTCTCTGTACAATATTATCACGATATGCATCTCACAGTGCGATATTTATAGCGATATTTTTGGAGAGGCTGATATAATTGTAGATAGGACACTTTTTTTGCTTTGAAAATACCCTGACAAGATTTTGGTGTGAATTATTACTGTCATAAGATTCAAGTAAAAACATATTTCTTCATGTTGTCTGCGCTGAAATGAATCATGGGATATGTAGTTCCCGATGTTTATAAGCTGTTGCTACTGTAAAACCATGCATTTAAGCAAAGGAACTTGTGAGTCGATATATTGCGACAGCCCACGATATTCTTGTAAGGATTTTGACAATACAAAATCATATTTCGGTTATTGTCACATCCCTAGTAGTGACCAGATCCAATCAGATAGAGGCATTTTAGAGAGAGAGTGGTCTTTGTGACTCAGTCAAAGGCTTCAGTGCAGTTTAACAGGACACAACAAGAAAAGCCTCATTCTTGCTCCACTCTGGTGTTTCGGTGATGAAATTGTTCATTCCCTCAAAGTGTTTCCTCTGGAAGATCTTCTGCCACATTTTCTGCCACAGACGGTGTAAAAAGCCTGTATGTAATGGTAGCAGTAGGAGTAGGGCAAAAATATCAAAATATCGATATATCTTATCGTTTAATGTGATGGTACAGTATCGATATCGTGGGCTGCTGTATCGATATATCACGTATTTTTTGGTATATTTTACTAAATTTTGTTACAGCGCTACAGTTTTGTTGCTTGTTTAGTGATAGGCAAATCGTATATAAGCGACACATTTGACATTTTCACTGTTTTGATGATTAAAATGTTTGTGTTTCATATTCACTTTGCACAACAAGTGATTTAACAAAGACTTTCAGTATCACAGCCATGATTTAGCCTTTATATTTTATTGAACCTTAGCAAATTGTTTTGAAATACATCATATCGAATCAAAAGTGCACTGTGTCAAGATATGTATCGTATTGTGGCCTATGTATCGAGGTATGTATCGTATCGGCAACTTCTTAATGATACCCAGCCCTAAGTAGGAGACATAGCAGCCGCTCAACCACACACACACTTATTGAACTTTGCTGGGCATTACCCACCTTGCTAAATCTCTGGAAATCTCTGGAGCTCTTTTATGTCTTTTACGTGACCCTCTGTGGATTATATGAACTCGGTTGCAGCTCATGTGTTCGGACTAAGAACTATAACGCACTGAACTCCTTCTTCAATGACTCAATAATGCGTAAGTGCACAAGTGTAAATATTGTAAATAACATCTGTCCACTGTAAATAACACCACAACTAAGCACTACAAGCCCTGTGTTTTGTCGCATTAAATATTAAGTTTTTTTCCAAGTCGAACCATAGTCTCTGGAACTACAGCTACTGATTTCAATAAAATGCAACAAACAACAAAAAAGTGGATCAACACTGAATTTGAGATTCATTGGATTAAACAACTTGTCTATCATGTCCAGTGTTTTTGTAACTACACTACCAGTCAAAAGTTTTAGAAAACCATAAGTTTTTCCAGTTATATATTGCAGTTTAAGTCGTGTAAGTACAATAAAGAGCTTGAAATGTTACAAAGTTAAGAACTGAACAGCCAGAGGTTAAAAAAAAAAAGATAAAAGATAACAAAACACAAGTCCAAGCTCTGCCAAAACTACCTCAGGAAAAAAAAGAACAAGATGGTAAAGCTTGAAAACATGGAGTGTCCAGCACAGTGTCCAGATTTAAAACCCATCGAGCTGGTTTTGGGATGAACTGGACAGAAGAGTGAAGCAACCTACAAGTGCCACACATTTATGGAAACTTCTGCAACAGACGGGAAGAACTTCTGAAGAATATTTGATTTCTATTGTAAAAAGAACGAGCCACGAGTGTGTTCAGCTGTTATATCTGCCAAAGGTGGACACTTTCATGAGTCAAAAGTTTAGAACACGTTTTGGTCAACAGTGAACAGTAAAAAAAACTACAAAAAGTGTTGGTGTTCTAAAACGTTTTACCGGCAGTGTAAGAATCAATGAGAATTACAGTTGTTACCAGTAAAACCTAGATTTGATGTGTACATGTTTACCTCGTATCTGAAGACACAGGTGAATTTATAGAATACATTTACTGTAAATGGTCTAAATTCAGATGAAACTTTGAAAACTGAGTCAGATTGTGTAACAAAAATGCTTTATTCTTTTCCTATAAAGTAAAAACAATGCAAAAAAAAAGTTGCTGCAGTACAGATATATTTTATAAGCAGCTCTTGAGGACAAAATAAGATCACTGTGAACTGTCAGCATCTAATTAGAGAGTCTTTTATTGTCCGATAATCAGGAAGTGCACCTTAGAATGCTAATTGTTGTCACCTTTACCATGATTGCAAAACTCTGCTCTGGAAAAAAGATCCCGAAAGTCACATCGCCAGTCCACACAGAGCCTGGAAACCCCAAACCGTTCATGACAATACTAAAAGTGATGCCAGTTCTAATCAGAGACCCTCCTCCTCCTCGTGTCTTTACAGTTGTAGCTCCACACTAGGGGGCGGGACAGAGAAGAGCAGAGTCAAAGCCCGTCCAAACAGTTCGTGCGTGAGTGGACCACAGCACAGCTCCTCTTTCCAAAACTCAAGGAATTTACTCTACAAACAAACAGATAAAGCGTCCAGGACTGAATACAGGTGAGAGATACAAAAGAAAATGGATAATATTGCAATTTTTGTCATAAAGATGTGCAAAATGTGAGTATTGAGTGCATATACTAAAGGTGCATTGCGTAACTTTTCTGGCGGAGGGTCCGTCAAACACTTTTCTCCATGGACATGTCGTTGCTTTGTCAGAAATGTCTCACAGTGCGGCTTTAAACCTTTCAATCTACACGGAGACCAAACCAGGCCAAGTTACAGGTCAGATCTGCGGAGAGGCGACCCCGCTCACAGTCAGAATGTTGTTTTTCTTGGCATTTTTGAGCTAAAAAACCAAACACCTGTAATTGAATAAATGTAAAGTAGAGCTGTTTAATGCCATATTGTGGAACATTCGAAGCAGAGCAATAACATCTCCACAGAAACAAGAAGGTGACGGACCCACACCTGAAAAGTTTAACACACAAACTCTGGATATTTGGAGTTGTCTCAAACAGAAAACACTCAGTTCTACCTTGTGATGTCATGTGGTGATACAGGAAGTGCTCCACTGTGTTTTTAAACTGGATAGGGTGTTGCTGCTTGTAGTTGCCTCCAGTTGACGTAATGGACACTCACTGGTACTTCAGCGGAAAAAATCCCCTGGGCTGAGACAAAATTTTTCTCATAGAACACAATATAATCACAAACTGCTCGTGTTCGACTGACAGGGACCTACAACTTTCAAAAATGTCAATCAATCAATCAATCAATCAACAACTTTATTAATCCCAAAGGGCAATTCAGTTCGCACATCCTCTGGTCATGCACAATCTATAAATAATAAAATAAAATGAAAAACTAGTGCTGTCAAGCAATTAAAACTATTGAGAGATTAATTAATTATGATCTGTAATTAATTAATCTAATTAATCTCTTTTTAATCTCACCTAAAAATTGCTGAGAAAAACCTTCAACTTGAGGTATTTTCATTTAAATTCATTATTACATTATTTTGGCAGATCAAAAGACTGATATAGAACAAAAAAGTGACTTTATAAAATAATTTATTGTTTAACAAACTTTAACAGATGCAGTCACTTACATTCCACAGTATCATCATTATTATTACTATTACTAATCTGCATAAATAAACTCAACTTTACAACATATAAACCATGAACACTCTAGAGCCACATCAGCCTGTTTGAGATTATAATGTGTTTAATGCAGATTTGCGCAAGTCTCACAGAAACGAAACTTAAAACCGCATGGCTCATTTGCATAAACTAAGCGGAGAAAAGAAAAAAAAAAAAACGCTCTTGTGCGCTGATGCAGTTTAGCTTCTGTGGGACTAAAGGACATGACTCAGTGGAATATGAGTGTTCTTTTTGTGACAGAGGGATGTTGATGAAGGTGAGTCTGTTCTGTGTCTGTGTCACGATGTTTTCAAAGATCGCAGGTTTATCGCAGATGCGGGCGAGAACGGGAATGAAAATTACAATTCTTTGCGGGAGCGATGTGTTGTTGTCCTAATAACACATAAAAACAGATTTTATAATAAGGCAACTCGCATACAGAAACAGTAAAGTTAGAGATTAAAAATGAGATTAAAACGATTAAAAAACATAACGCGCTAAATATGACTGTAATTAATAATCGCAATTAACGCGATAAAGTGAAACCCCTATGAAAAACAGACGCCATACATTCAAACCTCAGTGCATCAGGGACACAATAGCAAATTAAAAATGTCGGATTTGTTTGGCGATTTTTACCTATTTTTAGATCATAAACCTTTTCCTTCTTTTCGATCAGTTGTCTTAAAAAATGCTTCATCATCGTTAGCTCCGGCTCTGCTCTAGCTCCTCTCGCTCTGATTGGTCAAAGCGATCACGTGATACACGAGACCATATTTGAAAACCCCGGGACTTGACACACCTCCACGAGAAACATTTGGATCATTTCAGCTCGGGAATTTCCGATCTCTACTGAACTAAAGGTAAAAAGTAGCTGTTAACTTGACCACTACATGACATCACAAGGTGGAACAGAGCATTTTGAACTTTGGAGATGTAGACAGACTAATAATAAAAGTTACTCAAACATGTGTGAATGAAACAAAACACAACCCTAAGTCTGTTTTTGAGGAGGTAACAACATTATAACATAACTTAAAGCTCACAAGCTGTGTAATAAAAGGCCTTTAACTTTCCTTTAAACTTTCTGTAGCTACACCTGTATCTGTAAATGGACCCTCCCTCAAACAAATGAATACTGTCTTTGTGTCCTTGGACAAGACACTAAACCGATCCCCAGTATCTGCGTACACTGGTGTATGAATGTGTGAATGAATGAATGATTGGTTAGAGCGGGTTGAAGGTGTCAAAAAATGCTGTATAAAATTGGACCGTTTATCAAATTTATCGATTAGATTTTTCGTTTCTGGCTCCCAGTAGGCTGTGGTTTAGGGGGCGGTTTGGCAGCATCTTGGAGGATTTGACAATTATGAACTGAGGGAGAAAAACATTGCAGTTCTGATGAAAAGTGTAAGTGGTTACAGATGTGAGGTAGGCGTCCCTCCTTGGCTTTCATTTCCTCCAATAGACTTACGGTAAAAACTGAGCTGGGGGAGAAGTCAGAATTCTGTCGTAGCCAGATTGCACATTTGTTGACCTGGTTTGCGTTTAAAGGTGTATTCTGCCACTTTTAGGTTGGAAGTCCGTCACCTGCTTGTTGCGTCTTGTTGCTTGTTTCAAAAATACCTACCTGGGATCTGGTACCTTAGGTCACAGTAGTACAGGGGTCTCCAACTTGTAACTCGGGAGCTCCCAGTAACTCTCCACCCCCTTCCAAGTAGCTGGCCAATGGATTTCTGAATGTATTGTGCTGAGTAACTCAAATTTGATTTAATTAAATGCCTGTTATGATTGTAAATGCATAATTTTGGCGCCCATAAATGGATAATAGTTGTGCAAATGTTTTATAGGCATCAAACTGTACCCCATTTAAGGCTCTTATATTTACTCAGTTTTTTACAACCGAAATTAAAATGAGTAGATCTGTGGCAATTTTGTTTTGGAAAGGTATGACAAAAGAAGAAATTCAATTTGTCAACTGAACAAAAGTTTATTTGGTTGAAAATGTTTCGCGGCTCATCCAAGCTGCTTCTTCAGTTCTGGTCAGATGCTGGTGGACACTTCCTTATATGTGTTTGCAGGGAGGAGCTAACTATCATGAAAATACTCTGAAACTAACACACCTACTTGTTTTAGTTTCTGTTAGTTAGCTAGGCCTATTGAACTTGCAAAGAGTGTGGGGTCATATTAGCAGAATCATTGAGGGCCATAATAGAGCTTTCACCCTTCTGGACCTGACCTGACTACACCTATTGTTCTCTTGTTTGTTTTGATTTAGGTTTGAGGGTGGAGTTGCAAATAGGAGATAGATGGTGTCTGAGTCTTTCGTTTCTCTTTAAAGAAGATTTCTCTTCCTTAACAAAAACAGCTTCTCAACCAAATAAACTTGGAAAAACAAAAAAAAAGGTGACAAATTGAATTTCTCCTTTTGCCATGGATTCTACTAGCCAGCCTGGCACCACCTAGTCCCTCCACTCAATTTCATTTCTTTCACTAGACTACACTAGACGGTAACCAGTGCTAGTTCAGGCACCAGCCAATCAGTGAAGAGCCAGACATTCTGTGTTGTCAACGATTCCCGAGATTGAGGATTTAAAGCCAAAACAAAGAGAATGTTTGGTGAATTTTATCAAGGGATTATTGTGCATTACATACATCACGACCAAATAGCAGCGATTGGGTAAATTAAAAAAAGTACCCACCTACCGTCGAACGAATAAATTCTAACACTGCGAGGTCAGATGGTTTCCACAAAGTGAAACCGGCTGATGAATCAGGCTAGGATTCTACCTGGGTGACTGAGGGATTTTTCACACATTTTGGAAAGGTAGCTCACCAGAGGAAAAAGGTTGGAGACACTTATACTAGTATAAACTATTTATGAAACAAGCTCTTGATCTGATGTTCTAACTCATCTTTCTCTCTCCCTCCCTCTCCTGAAGCCTACCTGAAGCTCTTTCACTCTGCTCCACCATGCCTCCTCACCTCTTCCTCCGCCCTCTACTTCTTCTCCTCCACTGCTTTTCCTCACTCGCTCTGTCTTCCTTCTCTGATCCTGGCGGCCGAGCCGAATATCGTATCTCTGACCCGTCCTTCACCTGCTTCACTCACCTCACAGTCCACTCCGATTCGGGTGATCTTTACATCGGCGCCGTGAATCGGATCCTGAAGCTCTCCGCCGACCTGAAGGTGCAGGCGGGTCATGCGACGGGCCCGGCTGTAGACAACAAGGAGTGCTACCCCGCTCCTATTGTTGCACCTTGTGAACACAGGTAAAGTGGGATATATTATAATACTACCAGTTACTTTTAAAGGTGCACTATGTAACTTTTTGGTTTGGGATCTGTCACCTGCTTCTTTCTATGGATGTTCCACAGTATGACATTAAACAGTTCTATCTTACATTTATTCAATTACAGGTGGTTTTATAGCAAAAAATATCTAGAAGAAACAGACATTTTGACTGTGAGCGGGGTCACCTCTCCACAGATTTGACCCGTAACTTGGTCTGGTTTGGTTTCCATGAAGAAAAATAGGTTTAATACCACACTGTGAAACATTCCAGACAAAGCAATAACATCTCCACAGAGAAAAGTATTTGACGGAGCTTTTTGTAAACAGCTAAATAGCTTATTTACCTGAGATGTTTCGGCACTTCCGCCTTTGTCAGATGTGTAAGCTGTTAATCGGAGTGGTCAGTTTGACGGATCTGGCAGATTTATCAGACTGACCACACCTACCATCGTGTGATGGTCTCTGGAGAAGTGAGTCCATGTGTGAGCCAAGGTAAACACCCCCTTGTCTCTGTTGATGGTCCAGGCTCCCTGTTTCCTGATTTCAATAGTCTCTCATATCCATCTTTTGTATTTGTGCTCCTCTGTTCCTATAATTTTAGCTCTGTCCCAGTTTGTGACGTGGTTTTCCCTTTTGCTGTGGTCAGATTTTGCAGACTTCAGGTTTTCTTGCACTGCCTTTTGCTTGTTAGATTTTAGAGTTAATTGTGTTGTAGTTTCTTTCTCACACTCCTTTCTTTGTTCCTTTTTTCTTGCGTTGAATGTTCTTCCCATCTCCCTAATGTATGTTTTATTGCACGGAATCTGGTAGAAGACATTGCACTTTTTCTCAGGTTGAATTCTGTCTTTTGGGTGAAACATGTCAGGTAAAGAAGCTACTTAGCTTTTTACAAATTTATCTTATTGGAAGAAAACAAAGTTTCTAAATAAGAAGAACACAAATTAAATTTTCTAGACCTAACACTACACTCTTGTTTAAACCTGTTGTTGTTGATCCTCTTTCCTGTGTCTCAGCCTGGATTGGTCCAATAATGTGAACAAACTTCTCCTGGTGGACTACAGTGCGAACAGACTTCTGGCCTGTGGGACCAAATGGCAGGGTGTGTGCAAGTTCCTCAGTTTGGACTATCTCTTCACACTGAGAGAACCACACCACCTCAAACAGCACTATGTGTCCAGGGCCCGCGGAGGGATGGCAGGTAATACTTTTTCTAACTCCTGCTTGTGGATTGGTGGATTTCAGATGATCACCACATTCTATTGGCCAAGGTGCACTGTGTAACTTTTGTTGTGCGTTGCTTATTTCTATGGATATGTCATTGCTCTACCTGGAATGTTCCACAGTATGACATTAAAAAGCTCTAACTTACATTTGTTCAATTACATTTGTTTTATAGCTCAAAAATACCAAGAAGTAACAGGCATTCTGACTGTGAGCGGGGTCACCTCTTCACAAATCTGACCTGTAACTTGGTCTTGTTCAGTCTCCATGAAGATAGAAAAGTTTAATGCCATACTGTGAAACATTCTAGACAAAGCAATAACATGTTCTTGAAGAAAAGCATTTGATGGATCCTCCACCAGAAAAGTTACACAATGCAGCTTTAAGCTATGATGTACAGTAAGGAGTATACATGCATCATGAATCTCAGACTTCCAGCCATTGCGCAATGCATACTGGGAAGGATTTTCCGAAAAAGTGAGCATCAATCCGCCATATTTGTTTTCCCAGTCGGATGCGTCTGTTGACCAAGTCAATCTTTTCAAGTCTTTTGAACCATATCGCCTTTGTTTCTGGTTCTGATATTGTCATATTTTAGTTTTGAGATTCGGACATTGTAATTGTGTGGTTGTTGGATGTCCTAACAGTGGAAAATAGCTTGAGAAATGTGTCTGCAAAGTTCATAACTGTAAAAGGGAATCACACTGCAACATGTGACTGCAAACCTCTGTTCAAATTGTTTCTCTTCCCAACAGAAATGAAAAATAGTGAAAGACGAAGGCAATGGGCAGTACTGATACACAGGAAGGACGAAAAAGGAAACCTTTGACTGCCTATATCATTCTGAGTTTGCAGCGAACATTTTACATGTGGAGCGCCAACAAAGCAAAATCCCGATCCCTCGCTCCACCATGGTTACAAATTTAAAAAATCAATGCCAAAGTGAAAGGCACCAGCGGTTCGCCAAGAAACACCTTCCACTGCAAAGAGACCAAGACGTGATGTTGCTGTAAAGTCACAAGAACAAGAAAGTGCGAGCTCAGCCTGTTTATTTTCTGTACCTCTCGCTTAACAAATGGGATTTTGCTTTGATGGCGCTGCACATACAAAATGTTCGCTGCAAACTCAGAATGATTTCTTAGGCAGCCAAAGGTTTCCTTTTTCATCCTTCCTGTGGATCAGTACTGCCCATTGCCTTCACCTTTAACTATTTTTCAATTCCGTTGGGAAGGGAAACAGTTTGAAAGGAGGTTTGTAATCACACAGATCTGATTCCCTTTTGCAGTTATGAAGTTCACAAGGGTACTGGAGAGGAGAATCCGGCCGATAGTCGAACCTCGGATTCAGGAGGAGCAGTGTGGTTTTCGTCCTGGCCGTGGAACACTGGACCAGCTCTACACTCTCCATAGGGTGCTCGAGGGTTCATGGGAGTTTGCCCAACCAGTCCACATGTGCTTTGTGGACTTGGAGAAGGCATTCGACCGTGTCCCTCGTGGTGTCCTGCGGGGGGTGCTCTAGGAGTATGGGGTTCGGGGCCCTTTGCTAAGGGCTGTCCGGTCCCTGTATGACCGGAGCAGGAGCTGTGTTCGCATTGCCGGCAGTAAGTCAGACCTGTTCCCGGTGCATGTTGGACTCCGCCAGGGCTGCCCTTTGTCACCGGTTCTGTTCATTGTTTTTATGGACAGAATTTCTAGGCGCAGTCAGGGGCCGGAGGGGGTCCGGTTTGGGGACCACAGGATCTCATCTCTGCTGTTTGCGGATGATGTTGTCCTGTTGGCTCCATCAAACCAGGACCTGCAACGTGCACTGGGGTGATTTGCAGCCGAGTGTGAAGCTGCTGGGATGAAGATCAGCTCTTCCAAGTCCGAGGCCATGGTTCTCGACCGGAAAAAGGTGACTTGCCCTCTCCGGGTGGGTGGAGAGTCTTTGCCTCAAGTGGAGTTCAAGTATCTCGGGGTCTTGTTCACGAGTGAGGGAAGGACGGAACGTGAGATTGACAGGCAGATCGGTGCAGCTTCTGCAGTGATGGGGTCGTTGTATTGGACCGTTGTGGTGAAGAGGGAGCTGAGCCGAAAGGCGAAGCTCTCGATTTACCGGTCAGTCTTCGTTCCTACTCTCACCTATGGTCATGAGCTCTGGGTAGTGACCGAAAGGACAAGATCGCGGATACAAGCGCTCGAAATGAGTTTCCTTCGCAGGGTGGCTGGGTGCTCCCTTAGAGATAGGGTGAAGAGCTCAGTCACACGGGAGGAGCTCGGAGTAGAGCCGCTGCTCAAGCTCCACGTCGAGAGGAGCCAGCTGAGGTGGCTTGGGCATCTGTTCCAGATGCCTCCTGGACGCCTCCCTCGGGAGGTGTTCCGGGCATGTCCCACCGGGAGGAGGCCCCGGGGAAGACCCAGGACACGCTGGAGGGACTATGTCTCTTGGCTGGCCTGGGAACGCCTCGGGGTTCCCTCAGAGGAGCTGGAGGACATGTCTGGGGTGAAGGAAGTCTGGGAGTCCCTGCTTAGACTGCTGCCCCCGCGACCCGGCCATGGATAAGTGGAAGAAAATGGATGGATGGATGGAAGTTCGCAAGCTTCCGAAGTCCATTTCTCGAGCTGTTTTCTGCTGTTAGGACATCCAACAACCACTCAATTACAATGTGCAATTCCCATAACTAAAATATGACAATATCAGAACCAGAAACAAAAGCAATATGGTTCAAAAGACTAGAAAAGATTGGCTTTGACAATAGACGCATCCCACTGGGAAAACAAACATGGTGGTTTGATGCTCACTTTTTCAGAAAATCCTTCCCAGTATGCACTGCGCAATGACCAGAAGTCCAAAATTCATGATGCATGTATTGGCTAAGGCATTTAGTTTGAAATATTTTTGACATTTAATTTTTATAATGATGAAAAAACACTTGCCTATAAATGTCTGATTCATTTATCCTCTGTCTTTCCTTATTTTCTAAACTTCTCTTTTGATCTCCTCGTAGGTGTAATTGTGAAACATAAGGACGTCATTGATCCTGACAGTGGGAGGCGAATCAGAGGCAAGACTCATCTCTTCATCGGAACTGCCGTCGCTGGCAAGCCCCAATACTTCCCCTCTCTCTCTAGTCGCAGCCTGTACTCTGACGTAGACAACAACGATATGCTGTCTTTGGTCTATCAGGACGAATTTGAAGCTTCTCAAATCAAAATCCCACTGAACACAGTTACCCTGTACCCTGACTTCGACATCAACTATATCTACGCTTTCTCCAGTGGCTCCTTCGTCTACTTCATTATGGAACATCTGGACACAGAGCTCACCAAGTCGGACAAGGGAGGAGGGGAGAAGTTCTACACCTCCAAGATCGTCCGACTGTGTTCCAATGACAAGAAGTTTCATTCGTATGTGGAGTTTCCGCTGGGCTGCACCAAAGACGGGGTGGAGTATAGACTGGTGCAGGCTGCGTTCAGGCAGAAAGCTGGAAAGAAGCTGGCTCTGGCGCTGGGGCTGGGGGAGGATGACGATGTTCTGTTTGTGGTCTTCGCGAAGGTGAGAGATTATCAACAAATGTGTGCTTGAAGGTGCACTGTGTAACTTTTTGGTTGGGGATCCGTCACCTGGTTGTTTGTATGGTTATATCACTGCTCTGCCTGGAATGTTCCACAGTATGACCTTGCTTTACATTTATTCAATTATGGATGGTTTTATAGCTCAAAAATACCTAGAAAATGAGCGGCGTTGCCTCTCCACAGATCTGACCTGTAATTTGGCCTGGTTTGATCTCCATGAAGATAGACATTTTTAATACTATACTGTGAAACATTCCAAACGAAGCAATAACATCTCTGGTCTGGTGTAATCCTGGTCTGGATCTGGTCTTTAGGATCAGCAGCAGCAGTTTAACTCTGGTCTGGATCTGATCCGGATCTGGTGTAACCCTTGGTCCGGTCTAACCTTGGTCTGGGTCTATTCTTTAGGGTCAGCGGAAGCAGTCTAACCCTGGTCTAGATCTGGTCTAACTCTTGGTCTGGTCTAACCCTGGTCTGGATGTTTTCTTCAGGGTCAGCAGAAGCAGTCTAGCCCTGGTCTAGATCTGATCTGGATCTGGTTTGGATCTGGTCTAACCCTGGTCTGGAGCTGGTCTTTAGTATCAGCTGAAGCAGTCAAACTCTGGTCTGGATTTGGTCTAACCCTGGTCTGGGTCTGGTCTAACCCTTGGTCTGGATCTATTCTTTAGGGTCAGCAGAAAAGGTCTAATTCTGGTCAGGATCTAGTTTGGATCTGGTCTAACCTTGGTCTGGATCTGTTCTTTAGGGTCAGCAGAAGCAGTCTAACCCTCTGACAGAGACGGTCCTCTGCCTCTTCACTCTTCGTGACATAAACCGGGTCATCAGCGAGAGGATCCGCTCCTGTTACCGAGGGGAGGGCAGGCTGTCTGTGCCCTGGCTGTTCGGCAGGGAGATCCCATGTATACATGTGGTTAGTACAATAATAATCATTGCACAATAATAATCATAGCATTTATATAGTGCCTTTCAAGATACCCAAAGCACTTTACAGTTCATTATTCATTCACTCAACACTCAGTACAATAGAACAACTAATGCATTTAGACCACAGCGTCAAAATTACTCCAACTCCATTAGCTGGAGGCCTTTGTGTTTGAGGGTAGACTCAAAGGGGAAGGGGAAGGACTAAAGGGTAGAGTAAGCGGGGAGAAGAGGCGGTGTCTGGAGGACTAAAGGGGAGAGTGAGCTGGGGGCACTGATTAACGATGGGCTGTAGGTCTGGAGTTTGGGTAGGTTGATTTCCAACTGGTTTTAGTGGTTGAATCTTGAAAACCCAAAGTTTGAAGTCCATTCCACTCTCTGATTGGATGATAGATGAAAAAGAACTTTTAGCATGTAAAATGCTTTTGTAAGTAATAGATTTTTTTTTCAGTAAACCCACTGTTTGATTTGAACGTGTTTACTTCTTACATAAAAATGGCTTCATTACAGTGAGTTAAAATGACTCGTCAATATTCTTGTTGTGGTTCTCAGATCCAACAGATTGGAGACGACTTTTGTGGCTTGGACGTGAACCAGCCTCTGGGAGGAAGGAGTGTGATCCAGGGACACCCCCTGTATGAGGACCGTGCCCAGGGCATGGGGGCCGTGGCTGGGTACACATACAGGGAGGACACCGTAGTGTTTGTGGGGACGAGGACTGGACAGTTAAAAAAGGTGGGCCATTTGATTCATGAAGATCAGAGGGCTTGTACTGCCTTGCCATCTCTGACTGCACCCATTTTAAACCACACACACTTAAATGCTTTAGTCCAGTGACCCCACATGACACGATTAAAGGTACTATATTACACAAACCTGACTCTTGTGAGCTTTAAGACATGTTATAATACTATTACTCCCTCAAAAACAGACCTGGAGTTGTGTTTCGTTTCATTCACACCTGTTTGAGTAACACTTTATTATTAGTCTGTCCACATCACCAGGTTCAAAATGCTCCAAAATATTCCACCTTGTGACGTCATGAAGCGATAGTTTTCAAGTCAGGTACCTTTTACATGATGTTCAGTAGAGATAGGCAATTCCTGTTTGAAATTGATTCTAGTAAGGCAGCCTGATTCATCAGCTGATTTCGCGCAGCATTAGGATTCGTTCGCTCAACAGTAGGTGGGTACTTTTTTTATTTAACCAATCGCTGCTATTTGGTCGTGACGTATGTGATGCGCTGGAACGCTCAGTGGCGTCCAAGTAACTGCCGGCTTCACAGCTCTTCATTGATTGGTCGGTGAGCGGTCTACAACTTCTGGGATTCTTGCAAACTGTCTAGTGTATTCGGATTCCTGATCTATTCGCTGGAGAGAAATGAAATTGAGTGGAGGCACGAGGTGGCGCCTGTCTGGCTACTAGTAAGGTGTACGGAGCTTAAAAACACAGTGGAGCACTTCCAGTACCACAAGCCATCACAAGGTGGAAAAGGATGTTGTCTGTTTGAGAGAAGAGCTCAGCCTAAACATGCAGGATTTTGTGTGTTAAACATTTCTGAGTGAAACAAAACACAACAGGTATATTTGTGACGAGGAAAAAACATTATAGATCAGAAAAGCGAAATATGGACCCTTGAAAGCAGTGTCTTTACTTTACTGGTGTAAAGGCCAGTTCATTTAGATTTTTCCTTTGGAGATACAGCTGCACTTTCACTATGGACACTAGATGGCAGTCATTAGTCATTATTAGTTATGTACTCCCCTGTATTAAAGAATGGGTCAAAGCATCTGGTGTACGTGTGCTCCAGGTAGAATATGTTGTATGGAATAGTTGAATGGTTCTTGCCCCTTTGTGATCTGTGTGGATGATTTCAGTTCCGAGTGGATGGCGTGTCACTCTCCCAGAATGCTTTGCTGTACACAACAGTGAGCGTGGTGGAGGGGGAGCCCATCCTCAGAGACATGGCCTTCAGTCCAGATCATCGCTACATCTACGTGCTCAGCCCCAAACAGGTAACTCCACCAGAGAGATTTATTTTATTTTATTTTATTTTATTTTGTTTTGATTTTATTTATTTTTGTTTTATTTTATTATTTTTTTTGTTTTATTTAATTAAATTTAATTTTTGTTTATTTTTTATTTTTTGTTTAATCTAATTTAATTTTAGTTTATTTGATTTTATTTTTAATTGTATTTATTTATGTATTTATTATTTTATTTTATTTTGTTTTGTTTTGATTTATTTTTGTTTTATTTTATTAATTTTTTTGTTTTATTTAATTAAATTAAATTTTTGTTTATTTTTTATTTTTGTTTAATTTAATTTTATTTTATTTTTAATTGTATTTATTTATTTATTATTTTATTTTATTTTATTTTGTTTGTTTAGGGTTATGAAGGGCCAAAAATGACATAATTAGAAACAAATACATACAAGAAGAAATGTTTGTAATTATATTGTTAAGTAAAATATATGTGACCAGACCAGTCCAGTCTGTGATCGAGATATAAGCCTCAATCCTTCTAAGGTCGTTTTCACACCGCTAGTTCGATTATTTGGTCCGCACCAGGCAATAAAATTGTTATTATGTAGCAAATACACTCCAGTGTGTCCGCGTTCACACCGGCAAACGAACCAAAACTGGTTCGATTCACGTGTCTCTGTTTCCCGGTAAAACAGCGATACTCCAGTTATCAACACCGATGTTCCTGTTAAAACCACGGGCCGTCCTCATCTCAAATTATCACCATGAACTCATAAAACAGCAACATGTAGAACTTTGTACAAACTCACCGCATCAGCCCAGAGTTCGGGTAACAGCAGCAGCCAACAGCTCCTCAGGACGGGGCTGGGGTCTGGTTCTTGGTCCTTGGTCTGTTACAAGCTCGTTGGTCAGATGGTCCGGAGGCTTCATCCTCCATATGCTGGTTCCAAACGGTGGCGAGCAAGACCAGTGCGCAATGACTGGGTCTGAGCGGGTACGTTCCGTCGTCTGCGCGCTGTTTCCGTGCGGGAAAAGCAAGAATGCGCTGTGGACTACAGGTCCGGGCGCTGCTCCTGTCCTCCGCGCTCAAGAACCGCGGCTGGTTCCAAGGTGGTGCAGCATCCGGACAGAAGCATGAGTCCAGTTTGGTTTGTTATATGTTGTTCTGAGCGTCCGTCCTCCGCGCATTTGGTTCTTCCCGGGGAAAGCGCTTCCTCAGGTCGAGGCTCCCCGCTCCAGCTCCTCTGAGCCCGGCCTGAACCGGAGCTGCCCCCGCTGGTTCGGGACTCTGGTTTGGATCTAGTCCGACTGTATTTCTCACACTAGGCTAAAAACAGGGACTTTTTTAAGTTGTATCAATTGAATGGGCGATTGCCTATTGCCATGAAATTATTTGGTTAATTAGAGCCTAAAATAACAAATGTTGGTTGCTGCGTGATCACGGGAAACACCGGGTCGTCTCTGTGCATGTAGGTCCCGAACAGGGGTACGCACCCCCAATTTTGACTCACTCTGGAGCCACACGTTCGCACACTGATACTTGCTCTGATCTTCGTGTGTTACATTCTCTGTATTGGCCATTGTTGGTAAAATAATTCGAAAATGAATCGCGGCTGCATCTTGACAACAATCTGTTACTGCGCTGGAGTCGTACAGCGTCATTTCAGGCAGAGGAGACGCGTGTCCCTCCCATGATGCATTTCGAATAGTCCGTTTGTCCATACTGTCTATGGTTTGGACCCGGGTTTGCGTTCACACCAGAGGAACCGCACCAAAGTTGGTCATTTGGTGCGGATTCAAGCGAACCGAGACCACCTCTTTTTTGCGGTCTCGGTTCGCTTGATTTGGTTCGGGTCGAGTCCGATTGACGCTTTCACACCAACGCAAACGAACCGAACTAACCACTTTTGGTTCGAATGGACCGTTTGGTGCGCACCAAATACTGTCGGTGTGAAAACACCCTAACACTCTACATTTTTCAAAATTTTTGGAAAAGTCTATGGGAAAACTGAATGGAGGTCCAGAGCCGTTCTTCCCACTCCTTTTTAGACATGTAAACATATACCTCTGTGGCCTATGCATGTCTATCTGTCATTCTTATCGTGATGGCTTTTGAGATGTTATTATTTGTGACCTGACTTCTGTTTTATAGTTTGCATGTCTAAAATAAATTTATTCAATCATTCAAATACTTCAAAGTTCCCTTATAAGTCATAGATGCACTAATTATTGGAGTTCCTGTAGCTCGAATGGTGGTAACTCTTCTATTTTTCCCATAGTTGTGGTTGGCTGCTCTTGTGGCTGACTGGTTGGCACACTGAGCAGTATTTTTTATCTGAAATTTTCATCTTAACGTTTTGGGATTTTGACCAATGACACAGAGGACACATAGGAGGGACACTTTTATCCTGAGCTTTAAAAAACAAATGCAGACAATAGTATTTATCATGGTTTGGTTCATCTGAGTGTGTATTTTCCGTTTGCCGCAGGTGACCCGTTTACCGGTCGACTCTTGTGACCAGTACAGCACCTGCTCCGAGTGCCTGGGCTCCGGAGATCCTCACTGCGGCTGGTGTGCCCACGCATACAAGTCAGTACTCTTCTCTCAAACTAAAAACACTCTCTTCCACCTTGTGATGTCATGTGGTAATACAGCAATGCATAATAACTCAACACACCTTCACTAGAATCATTTGGATAATTTCAGTCCTGGAATTGCCAATTTCTGCTGAACCAAAAGTAAATTAAAGTAACATTATGTGACAAAAAGCACTCAACCCTCACAGCAAGAAGGTTCCAAGTTCAAGCTTTTCTGTGTGGAGTTTACATGTTCTCCAGATACCTCAATTTCTCCCATCAATTCAAAACATGCTGCATAGTTAAAATCCTCCATCTAAGGTTCAAATTAAGGAAATGTTATCTTGATTCGAGTCATTTTCACGTGACAAGTAAAATTATCAACTAACAGAGCACGTCTTTTTGTATTAAAAATAGGAAAACACATTTTTTACTCTAAAAATAACAAATACAACAACTCTTTGCAGTAAATCTTGTGTTCCTTGAAGTAAGAAAATTGACTTTGTCTATAAGTTGCAGAGTGATGAGTAACTGGGACTGTTGCCATAGCGATCAACTATTTTCCAAACTAAATATTCTCTCTTTAGAATGGTAAAAGTGGAGCGTATAATAATTGGCCACATTAGCACACATTAACAAACACAGCCAAACAAGGCCCTCCACACGATGCACTAAACACTTGAATGAAGCGCGCATTTTCTCTGAGCACATGAAGTGCCGAAGTGCACAGAGCTGCAGGGGTAAAAGAAACATTCTAAAGAGTGGGACAATCCGCACTTCAAGTGAACGCACAGCAAGTACGTACCATATTTTTCGAGCTATAAGTTGCTCTGGAGTATAAGTTTCACCAGCCAAAAAATGCATAATGAAGAAGGAACATATATATGTTGCACTTTTTGGGGGAAATTTATTTTATAAAATCAGAGACCAGGAGCCAACATTTAATCTTGAAAGGCAAATTACAGTAATAACAATAGAACAGAGAACAACAGGCTGTTAACAGTTATTCAGATAAATATAACATAAACAACAGAACAGAACAAGTTTAACAAACTCTCCATCTCACTCCAAATCACTAAATCCATTGAATGCTTTATCCTCAGTGTCACTTCTGAGCAACTCTGCGACCTCTAGAGGTAAACAGAGCGCCGCTTCCTCTTCTGTGTAGCTGTCGTCAGACTCAGCATCAGTTCCAGTTAGAATTATTCCGGCCTTTCTAAATCCCGACAGGATGGTTTTGGTGTCACTGAAGTCCAGACTTTGTCCATCCATCCAATGACTTCAGGAAAGTTGCATGGTGCATCCTCCTGGTTTCTCGTTCACTCCAGACTTTCTTTCTGCTGCTTGATTACCGTTTTCAGCTGCAGATTTCACTACTTGCAGTTTGTAATCTGCAAAATATGATTTTCTTTTTGGGGAAATGTGTGTTCAGTCTTCTCAGTCGTCTTTATAGGTTTGTTTAAATTTTTGAGTGGTACAGAAGTAATGGTGCGATCGACTGACATGATACAGACAGGACAGAGGCTCTTTCTGCAGGAGACATGCACATGAGAGCTAAGTGACAGTGGTACAGGAGTAATAGGAGCAGCAGAGACTGACACACAAGACTGGAGCCTCTCGAGACTGTCAGTGTGAAAATTTTAATATATAAGTTGCGCTGGAGTATAAGTCGCAGGAAACACCCAAATCATGAAAAAAGTGCAACTCATAGTCCGAAAAATACGGTAAGTCTGCATTGGAACAGCATCTACATTTTTTGGTCTGAAAACTCAAGAACACAATACGCAGTCATTTCAACAAAGTTAAAGTAATTCCCTTAGTGTTTTTTAATTTATTCATGTATATTATTTTTTGCAGGTGTTCAAGACGTGAGTCATGTGACAACCCTGACGACCCTCAGAATTTTCACCTCAGGCTGGACCAGTGTGTGGACGTCCCAACTGTTCCCAAAGCCAAACCCATAATGGACATTAATGTGGCCTGCGGAATTTAAAGAGGAAAAAATATATTCTAACCAGCTAAATACTGTAATATCTGTTATCAAGGTTGTTTTTTGGTTGTTTTTTTTTACATTAAAATGCTTATATTACCACTCTGTTCCACCTTGTGATGTCATGTGGTAACACAGGAAGTTCTCCACTGTGTTTTTAAACTCCATACACCTTCACTAGAATCATTTGAGTGATTTCAGCCAAGGAATTGTCAATCTCTACTGAACTAAAGGTGAAAGGTGTAAAAGCTGTTGACTTAAAGAAAATTACCACTTCATGACATCACAAGGTGGAACAGAGCGTTTTGAGCTTTGGGGATGTAAACAGACTAATAATAAAGGATTACTCAAACATGTGTGAATGAAACAAAACACAACTCCAGGTCTGTTTTGGAGGAACAACATTATAACTTGATTTAAAGCTCACAAGAGTAAATTTTGCTCTTTTGTTAGATTCAAACTGGTTACACTCTGGTTCCTGGGCAAGAACACAACCCACTACACCACTATCAATAATCACTTCTTTTTTCTTTGCAAAGTCTCAAAATTAAACCTTAATCCGATTTTATGATAACGAGAAAACTCTCAATTCAGCTCTGCAGCTCCATAGACTTTCATGAGGAAATGGTGACATCTGGTGGTGAAATCTTGTACAGCAGGTCTCCTACACGTGTGCCTGTGGATCTTAGTTTGTTCTTTTATGAAATTCAGATGAAGCTTTGAAGATGGAATCAGATTGTGAACAAACAGATTTATTTTATATTATTTTATACTGTTTTCATATTATGCTTTATTTATTTATTATTTTTTTGTAGCATTAAGACATTTTTTAATATTGTCCTCTCATCAAAAACATACCAGCAGTTGTATTTTGCTCCATTCACGCTTGTTTCATTTTCCCATTAATGTAAAATCGTCTTTTCTGTGCCTCGAAAATGCTTTTTCATTGTTCATTCCCGTTGCTGACAGCAGAGGGAGCTCCAACATTTACTGGAAACATAGTTCATAAAGTCTTTTCCAAATGCAGACTATTTTAAAGCTATAGTATGCAACTTTTTACATTAACAGACTAAAATAAAAATGTGTTGTTTTTTGTTTTTGTTTTTAACCATTGTTAATTTACATATTGTGTTTCTATTATTGTTTACCATGATTATAATCTGTAACATATCCCTCTGAATGAAGACTGACACGAACTGACGATTTTTGGATTTAATGGCAATAAATCCTCCAATCTGCCGTAAGAACTAAAAGGAATATAAAATACAGTGTGTAAATACGCATTCACGAAACTCAACGCAAGTTTGATTAATATTTACATTCATCTTGACAACATCAATCAACAATGATAAAACTAAACTAGAGACACAAAGTTATTCAAAAGAAATATTTACATCAGTAACATACCTTTGTGCCTCTTCAGGAAGCTAAACAAAGAGACAGAAAAATATCAAAAAATATATGTGTACACATTTGCTCCATATGACGTTTTTCCCTTCTCGTTGTCAAGGTAATTAGACGAAGATAAACCCTTCAAAATAAAAGAGCTAAACATAAACACGTAAGTTAATGGTTAACAAAAAATACTGCAATATAAAAATAACTAAAAAAGTCACAAGAGATTTTAACAAAGACAAATTATACTATAGGTTATTTACATAATCCTTACTCTGAGCAGGCTTGCATCTCCACAAACCTGACTCTTACTTGGGCTGGAGGAGGGCCTTGTCCTGCTTGTTTCCGTGGTAATGATGTTCACGTGACTGTTGATACTTTGCAGCGACATCACGTTAAGGGAAGCTTCTACATGTGTGTGTGTGATGAAATGTTCACCAGTTACCATGGAGACACAATGCACATATTAACCAGTGTAAATGAAAATTAGGAGCCTCTGTTTGATTTTCAATCATTAAAAAAAAAAAAAAGGTGAGAGAGACTAACTGAAAAACTGTTGGCTAATGTTGATTTATATTTATTAAATTTTTTTTTGTGATATTAGGCCCAGTTTACACGTACACAGATATTTTTTTAAAAACTGAGATATTTCCTTTTGTTTGTATCCATCTTTTACACGCAAACTGCGAATTCACCTCTGAAAACAAATCTTTCTAGAAATTTCTAGAGTAGATATTCTAGAAAACTCCGGTTTGGCATTTGCGTGTAAATTCAGAGAGTTTTAAGTAGCTGACTCACCAAAAGTGCGGCTAATGTTTCCCTTTTGCTCTGACGATGATCATGGAACATTCAGAGCAGCAGTTGCATTTCTTCTGGTGCAAGCGTTTTTCATTTTTCATGTGTTTGCAGTTGCACACAGCTGTTGTATCATATCAAAGACCAGAGTCAAACGAATTTGTTTTTTTGCACATTTTAATACTGTTACAGGCAAATGAACTCACACCGTTGCGGAATGTTGGGGACAAAACATACGAATCATAAGCAGAAGCTCCAATGAACAGTAACAGATCAGTACAAAGAATGAATCTATATTTTTTCACATGACAACATTCAAAACGGTCTCTATTTTTTAGTTTCAAGATCAGGAAAACAGCTCAAAATTCTCCATTACAGAATTTGTGTTTTGTCCTGGTTTGTGGTTCATTTTGAGGCCTATCCACATTTTTAAAAGTTCAAAATCTTCAAAAAATCTTCACAAATTAACAGTTTAAAGATATTGTTTTCATCATTTTAAGTTTGGATATTAGTTCTAGTAACGAGTAAGTGCCCATAGAGTTATACAGGTCCTCTGCCTTCCATCTGAAATTGACATCAAACAGCAAATTATCTACGCAAGCATCAAAATTTTCAGTTTAAAGATCCCATATTATGCTAACATATGTTATAATGTTGTTCCCATATAAAAAAAAATACCTGGAGTTTGTGTTTTGTTTCATTCACACACATTGTAACGCACAAATCCTGCGTATTTAGATGAGTTCTTCTCTCACATGGATTTGTAGTAATACAGAAAGGGCTCCACTGTGTTTTTAAACTCCATACACACCTTCACTAGAAAACATTCTAACATGACTAAAAGCTCACAACTGCCAATTTTGCGTAATATAGGACCTTTAATTCATTAACTCAATCAAACCCGGGTGATACTTATTGTAAAACTTGTTGTAAAACTTATTGTAAAACTTTGCATAACACTTTCACTTTCCTACTGCGTTTTAAAGCAAGACATGTTCATAAAAAATGTGAACTTTTATTTGATCTCGAAGGTGGTGATGCGTGCGTCTCCATCTACGCTCACCACGGAGTATTTATCTCGGCCCATGCGGTTTGGGAACGAGAAGGAGGAGCCGTCAGGGAGAACCACCAGGAAGTCACCCGGGTTGAATGTGATGCTCATCTGAAATGGTAAAAGAAAAGTTTCAGAATTTTTGGAACTGCGATATCGAACGTACAATAAAGCTGCTAAACTGGGCAGTTCCTGGAGGACAAACCGTGCGTTCGATTATCTTCCAACTCCCACTTGGACCTGGGATTTGATGTCACATCCGAGTTTGAAGTGTATTATTACTTTCGTGTGTCGGACAACGTGGATTATGACAGTATGAATATGACTGTTCCCTCACTGCCACTTTAATTGATTACATTTTTTGAAATGTGCACTTCATTTTATCTTATGATTTTTCTTCTGTTACAACCTTAGGGAAGATAACATCCATTAAATCAAGTATTTGTTCAATATTAGCCTCACCACAACACCGACTACCAAACCCACAGGCAGTGATATGGACAAGGTGAGGTACTGCAGTAATATGAGTGACTGAAATTGTCATTTAAACCACAAAAGTGTCCAAACACAATGAAAACACTTCATATTTACACGTCACAGTGGGCACAGCCAGCTTGGATTCTGACACAGAATCCTTGCTTGGTTTTCTTTTTCCACCACCAAGGTCTGAGTCGCACCGTCCCAGGAAAAGGGGCGTGTCATCACACGTGTTGAGTTTCCACGGAAAACCGATTCAGAAGGATAAATCAAATGCAGGTTAAGAGCGGCGGGGTCTGGATCTCTAAGGAGCAGTGTGATTGGTCAAACAGGTATCCACAGTTTAAACACCTGGCTGTGATCAGGGTGTTTAAAGTGTGTGAAATTTCAGAGGTCACAAATTTTGATTCAGCATATACACTGTTAAGGAGCAAGACAAGTGGATTTAGTGTTTATATCAGGGGTGCTCACACTTTTTCAGCATGCGAGCTACTTACAAAATGATCAAGTCAAAATGATCTACCTAATACAAAGCCAAGCAAACTGCACTGAAACACTCTGTGCCCCTTTTTTTGGACCCTCACCCACAGTTTGAGAACCCCTTCTTTAAGAGAACTTCCTCTGGCACTTTACACAAAACTGTGAAAAAAGTGAAGGAAGATTTTTAAACCTGTTTTTTAAAGTTCCAAACTGGAGTTGCATTCTTTTCTGGTTTTGCAGTGATATTTACCAGCCTCTGCACGTTTACCAAACCAAACGCACATCGTGACAAACACAGATGCATTTGTGCACTTTTGTTAGACAAACTTCAGCCAAATGTGGCAGTAGGTCTGTTCTGTAGATCCGCTCTATGCTGTAGACCTGCTTTGTGCCAACACTGTAACACAAATTTAGACTAGTTTTTGCTTCACGTTTGGTCTTGCTCTTCTAATCAGCCGCACTGTGGGAGGGGCTTGTTTTCGCTGTACGCAGGAAGGAGCGAGAGCGTGAAAAGGCGAGGGGCGGCGTGCTGACGTGAGGCAGATGGACAGGTAGGATGTTTAGGAAGTTTAACCTGCCCTGTGATGCACGCTGGTACACGAGGGCACACGCTGTTGCAGACGAGCCGTGCGTAGGGAGCGTGTGTGTTTGTGATGTGCCGTAGAGTCTCTGCGGGCTGCACTGAGATGCCCCACACGCTCCTGCACGCATCAATATGAAACAGGTGGTGTTGTCGGGATAGGCCTGTATAAATAGGGCCTCTGGGTAACTGAATGTGTGGTTAAGCCAAGCTGTGGTTCGCTGGAGAGGAGCAAGGGGAGGTTGAGGCGTGGTCCTGTTTCTGAATCTAACGATTATCCTTCCGAATCGCTTTTCCGAGTAAGTTGCCTCGCAGCACATGTGACACGCCCTTTTTCCTGGGACGGCGCGACTCAGACCTCGGTGGTGGAAAAAGTAGATCGAGCAAGGATTCAGAGTCAGAATCCAAGATGTCTACGCCCACTGTGACGTGTAAATATGAAGTGTTTTCATTGTGTTTGGACACTTTGGTGTTTTAAATGACAATTTCACTCACTCATATCACTGCAATACTTTACCACATCCGTATCACTGCCAGTGTTGGGAAGGTTACTTTTAAAATGTATTCCCCTACAAATTACAGATTACATACTCCAGAATGTAGTTTGTAACGTAATCCATTAAATTACTTAAAGTGAGTAACGTAATCTGAATACTTTGGATTACTTGATTATTGACTTGAAAGACTAGGATATTGTAACATAAGATATTTTGTCTACTCAAAGAAAATAAAAAGCCCAGACTTTACTTAACTGTATAAAAAATATTATTGATAGAAGAGGAGGAGACACGTCCACGCAGCATGGTTTAGTCCTGGTTTAGTCCTGGTTTAGTCCTGGTTTAGTCCTGGTTTAGTCCTGGTTTAGTCTTGGTTTAGTCCTGGTTTAGTCCTGGTTTAGTCCTGGTTTAGTCCTGGTTTAGTCCTGGTTTAGTCCTGGTTTAGTCTGGTTTAGTCTTGGTTTAGTCTGGTTTAGTCCTGGTTTAGTCCTGGTTTAGTCTTGGTTTAGTCTTGGTTTAGTCCTGGTTTAGTCCTGGTTTAGTCCTGGTTTAGTCCTGGTTTAGTCCTGGTTTAGTCCTGGTTTAGTCCTGGTTTAGTCCTGGTTTAGTCCTGGTTTAGTCCTGGTTTAGTCTTGGTTTAGTCTTGGTTTAGTCTGGTTTAGTCTGGTTTAGTCTGGTTTAGTCTTGGTTTAGTCCTGGTTTAGTCTTGGTTTAGTCTTGTTTAGTCTTGGTTTAGTCCTGGTTTAGTCTGGTTTAGTCTTGGTTTAGTCTTGGTTTAGTTGGTTTAGTCTGGTTTTAGTCTTGGTTTAGTCTGGTTTAGTCCTGGTTTAGTCCTGGTTTAGTCCTGGTTTATATCTAGTTAAGATCTAGTTAAGATCTAGTTTAGACCTGGTTTAGTTTCCGGCAATGAGTGGAATTACCGAGAAAAAAAAAAAAAAAAAGCCCAAAATGTTAAAACAGGAAAATACCAACATGTAATCCATTTATTTCAACAAAGTAACTGTAATCCAATTACTACTCATGGAAAGAGTAACTGTAACTGAATACAGTTACTCATAATTTGTACTCTGATTACGTAACTCCGGTACATGTAATCTGTTACTCCCCAACACTGATCACTGCCTGTGGGTTTGGTAGTCGTGTTGTGGTGAGGTCAGTATTGAACAAATACTTGATTTAACAGGCATTAACGTCCCCAAGGTTGTAACGGAAGAGAAATCATAACATAAAATGAAGTGCAAATTTTAAAAATGAATTTAATTAAAGTGGCAGTGTTTTCAAAAGATGAGGTAATAGTCATAATCATAATCCACGTAATCCGACACACGAAACAGAATAATAGAATAACAGAATTCAACCTCGGACTTGATGTCAAATCCGAGGTACGAGTGGGAGTCGGAAGATAATCGAACGCAGGGTCAGTCAATCATTACTCCACCTATGTCACTTTTCTGGTGGGGCTCGTGCTGCTTAACCTCGCACAGCCTGATGGATTCTCACGATATCTATGAATTCACAAAGTCATGAGAATCCAGCTTCTGGTCGGGTGAACCAGTCACATCACAGAAGTGCATAAAAGTGCCCAAGTGAACCAAAACAAACATCACCACGCAGACAGACATACTTCTTGATTTTGCTTTGCTTTACCGGTTCTGGAAGTAAATTTCTCATTCATTTTCCTGTTATGAATATTAGTTTGTACATAGCTGGTTAGCCTCCGTGATGCCTTTGTTACTCAGTGTAAGAAAGTTCAAATTGCTCAAATAAAAACTCATGAAATTAAATCTTGATATTTATTTTTTTTGTCTATGGTAAAAATGATTGGAAAATATACTTTTGGAACCAGAGCAGGCGGAAGCTGTTGAGCTCCACATCCTACATCGATTCAGTTAAAGGTGTTTAATGTGTTGATATGTTTAATGCCATACTGTGGGACATTTTTTACCACTAACAGTGTGATTGCATGGGGTCTTGTTACCTTGAACTCTCCTCCAGCTGTGAAGGGGAAGCCGGCCTCCCTCTGCTCCTCGCACCACGCACCGTCCTGGTACGAGTTACACACCACAGTGTTCTGATCTCCGTCTGAGTCGAAGCGAGGGTTTACGTGCATGGTGATGTCATTCCCATCCGGGGAAATGTTCACTGCAAACCTGCACAAGAGGACACACAGGATACAGTCACTCAGCACAGAAGAACACACAAGTGAAATGTCAGAGAAGACCGGCTGTGCTTGTGTCTGCTCTAGGCCCCGTCCACTTTAGTACATATTCGAGTCGTTTTCGTTGTGGATGCAGTGTTTGTCCACACTAATCCAACTGAAAACGGCTCCAGAAAAAGCTGATGCGCTGATTAGGGCTGGGTATCATTAAGAAGTTGCCGATACGATACATACCTCGATACATAGGCCACGATACAATACATATCTCGATACAGTGCACTTTCAATTCGATGTGATATATTTCAAATAGATTCGATACAGTTCAATAAAAAATAAAGGCTAAATCATGGCTCTGATACTAAAAGTGTTTGTTAATCCACTTCTTGTGCAAAGTTCATATGAATCACAAACATTTTAATCCTCAAAACAGTGTCAAAATGTCAAATGTGTTGCATAAATGAGTTTCCTTTCACTCAACAACACATGCAACAAAACTGTAGCTCTGTAACAAAATAATTTAGTAAAACACACATAAAAATACTCTTGGTGACATATCGATACAGTAGCCCACGATATCGATACGGTATCGTCACATTAAGTCCGAGGCCATGGTTCTCGACCGGAAAAAGGTGGCTTGCCCTCTCCGGGTGGGTGGGGAGTCTTTGCCTCAAGTGGAGGAGTTCAAGTATCTCGGGGTCTTGTTCACGAGTGAGGGAAGGACGGAACGTGAGATTGACAGGTGGATCGGTGCAGCTTCGGCAGTGATGCGGTCGCTGTATCGGACCGTTGTGGTGAAGAGGGAGTTGAAAGGCGAAGCTCTCGATTTACCGGTCAGTCTTCGTTCCTACTCTCACCTATGGTCATGAGCTCTGGGTAGTGACCGAAAGGACGAGATCGTGGATACAAGCGCTCGAAATGAGTTTCCTCCGCAGGGTGGCTGGGCGCTCCCTTAGAGATAGGGTGAGGAGCTCGGTTACACGGGAGGGGCTCGGAGTAGAGCCGCTGCTCCTCCATGTTGAGAGGAGCCAGTTGAGGTGGCTCGGGCATCTGTTCCGGATGCCTCCTGGGCGCCTCCCTCGGGAGGTGTTCCGGGCATGTCCCACCGGGAGGAGGCCCCGGAGAAGACCCAGGACACGCTGGAGGGACTATGTCTCTCGGCTGGCCTGGGAACGCTTCGGGGTCCCCCCAGAGGAGCCGGAGGATGTGTCTGGGGTGAAGGAAGTCTGGGAGTCCCTGCTTAGGCTGCTGCCCCCGCGACCCGGCCCCGGATAAGCGGATGAAAATGGATGGATGGATCGTCACATTAAACGATATGATATATCGATATTCCGATATTTTTGCACACCTCTAGCGCTGATGTAGGTCTATGCACCGCGAAGTAGCTAACTCCCCGTCAAAACGCTAAGAGGCTAGAATATATTCATATATACGGTCTGTGTGTACGACCTGCAGACGTATAATCTCTGAAAAGTTTCACATAAACCATCTCCAACAAAAAGTTTGCACATACTATTGGTGCACCTCATGTCAAATGGACTTACTTTGCGGCGTCAGGTTTGATCGTTCCCCCCAGAGTCAGGGTCTGTCCCACCTTAAAGGACATGTTCTTCACAGTCATTGCATCCTGTGGGCGCAAAGAACAACATACAGTAAATCATATGAACAACTGAAATACATGAGGCACGGTCTGTCCATAAACTGAGAATGAGACAAACTTAGATGTGTCTCTATCTGCAGGTTAAGACTCTGGTAACACAAGTTCAGTTGTGAGTGTAGTACTTTTTGAAACAGTAAGAGCATAAAGTTCCTACAGTTCTTCATTACACGTCAAACTGCCAGAGACTAAGTGCCAAGTTTAAACTTCACTAAACTCTTCATTTGTTTCCATAAAACACCTTTAATAATGAGCCTTTTATAAAATAAGAGGGCCGACACTCTTTACAACCAATCACAACCACACACTTTATTGGATCTAGAGCTGCACCCCCCTCCCTGCCCCAACTCCACCGTCTTGCCTAAAAACACAGTGACAGTTTCCACTGGAGTCACTGCTGGCCCACTGTGGTACAAGCCACTACAATTTAAAAGGAACCTACATGCTCAAAAAACCCAGATTAGGACCAAGGTTATGGAGTAAAGCATCACTGTGAAAGGAGTTAATTTCAAGTACAATGATGACATTTGAAAAACACATAAAATAAATAACACATAAAAAGTTGTTGTGCATAAAAGTGAAGATTTCTGTTTGCCATTGATTAATAATTGTGCCTGAACTGAAACGTACTGATCTGAAATGTTTAGTAACCATCGGCGTAGATGTTTTGTCTTGAAAAGGGAACATAAAATGACTCTTCTTTCTGCTCCTTTTCATTCATTTCTTATATGTTGATATTGTGACACTTTTGATGTCTTTTCATACTTTATGAATGAAATAAATAAATAAACAACCAAACCTGTGTTCCTAGCGGTCTCCTGTCAAAGAACTAATCAGGCCCAGTCCTGCTTAGCTTCGAGAGGAGACACTGACAGCAGGTAGGAACAAAAACTGATGCAAAACTAGATCCTCATTTGAGCAGGTATCAATAATATCACTGGTAATAGTATTCACACATAGCAGCATGGTTTCTCAGCACTCTAGCCCGGTGTTTCCCAAACTTTTTTTCTGGGGACCCATGTTTTAAAAGTCACAAATGTTTGCAACCCAAGTCAATAGACATTATTCGTAAATGACTGACATTAATGAGGATATTTTATTGTTGACTGAGTGATCATGTCTCTCTGAACAATTAGTATTACCGTATTTTTCAGACTATAATGCGCACAGGATTATAAGGCGCAATACCAATAATGCTGAACTCTCTCGTTTATTTTCATACATGAAGACGCACCGGATTATAAGACGCAACAAACGAAACAAACAGACGACACTTGAGACTTTTTTATTTCCTACGTGGAGTAATCATGTGTTTACTGCAGCTTTGCGCGCATTTGTTTACATTTTACAGAAAATAAACTTAAAACTACGTGACTAATTTGCATAAACTATAAGCATTAAAAGAAAAACAGCTCACTCCTTGTGCCATGATGCGGTTCAGCTTCTGTCGGACTAAAGGACATGACTCGGTGGAATATGTGTGAAAATCAGTTCGAGGTCAGAAAGCACAACCAGAATTAATACATAAACCACATCGGATTATAAGGCGCACTGTTGATTTTTCAGAAAATGAAGGGATTTTAAGTGCGCTCGGGCACTCATGTTTTAAACAGTGAAAAACAGTAATCAGTATTTCCCACAGAAAATTGGTTAGACAAGGTGGTGCTGCCAAAAAACTGAGGAGCAGAGGGGTGTGCGGAGATGTTTGTATATGTATACTGCAGACCTACATGCAGATCGTGACAAGTCAACCCCAAAAATAACCTCTGGCAACCCAGTCTTTGGGAAACAATGCTCTAGCCTCACAAACGAAAAGTTCTGGTTCTGCACAAAAATTTATCTTATCTTAAAATGAAAGAACAGATCAGTATCCTCAGTTGAAAATGACATTATACTGTATTCATTCAAACTGGTAGCATTTTTTTTATTTTTTTTACCATTAATGTTAACATTTAGGACACCACTACTCCTCAGCCTTTCCGTCTCTTGCTCCTCCACATCACTACTGTCAAATCCCTTTATTTTCCTTAAAGGAACCAAGAGATTTCGTTTTGAAATTCCAAAACCATGACCTTACTGTGACCCTAGATGCAAGGCAAACATGTACAAATCAAATACAGCTTTTACTGATAACAACTGTAATACTGATTTACTCTGAATTACAAAAACATTGGACACGATGGACAAGTTATTTATGTCATAATTGTTGTGATGCATTCCAGTGTGTTTAAACCTAAAATGGCTCTCTCTGATCTGAAAGGTCACGATGTAAAACCTGCAACCAAATATGACTCAGTGCTAGTGCAGCCTCTGCAGCTCAGTGAGGGAATTCTGGAGGTTCTGAGCTTTCACATGAGGCCTGTTCATAAACTGAGAATGAGACAAACTTGGATGTGTCTCTATCTGCAGGTTAAGCTGGAAAACCAGATTCAATTGAATGATTGTTGTATATTTTTGATGTTCAATATCAGTGTTTTCCAAACTTTTTTTTTCTGGGGACCCATATTTTAAAAGTCAGAAATCTTTGCTACCCAAGTTAATAGACATTATTCGTAAATCACAAAATAAATCTGTGACCATTATTGAACATTAATGAGGATTTTATTGTTGACTGAGTGATCGTGTCTCTCTGAACAATTAGTTTTACTCAAGTTTTAAACCATGAAAAACAGTAATCAGTGTTTCCCCACTAAGGATGCAACAATAACTGAAATACTGTGATATCGTATCGTCAGCGTTCTCTCAATAATATCGTGGACCATCACAATATATCGAATTACAAGTCTCTTAGCTTAAATTAAGAGTTTTGGTGCAGCAATAAAATAATAATAATAGCAATAAAAAAGACAGTGGGAACTACATAGACCATGATCCTTTGCTCCATTTCAGTGCAGACTACAAGAAGAAATAACAGTTCTAAACACTTTTAAGTCTTAGTTCTTTAGATTAAATCTTGTCAAGGCATTTTAAGAGGAAAAAGAAGCATATTCACAGTTTTGTTAACCTCCAAAAAAAAAAAAATCACCATAAATATCGTACCGTGAGACGTGTACCGTGAAAATATCATACCGAGAGATTTGGATATTTTTACATCCCTAATCGTCAACCTCCCCATCATATCGTGAGCTTTCCCACAATATCGCAATAAATATCGTACTGTGAGGTTCATACCGTGACGATATCGTATCATGAGACTTGGATATCATTACATCCTTATTTCCCACAGAAAATTGGTTAGGCAAGGCAGTGTTGCTAAAAAAGTGAGGAGCGTGCATGGAGAAAACATTTGGTATATTGCAGACCTACATGCAGATCGTGACAAGGCAACCCCAAAAAAAATCTCTTGTGACCCAGTCTTTGGGAAACAATGTTCTATATCATGCAGAATTGACTCTTGTGAGTTTTAAACCATGTTAGAATGCTTTTGCCTCCTCAAAAACAGACCCGGAATTGTGTTTTGTTTCATTCACACATGTTTGAGTCACCCTTCATACTTGTCTGTCTACATCTCCAAAACTTAAAATGCTCTGTTCCACCTTATGACCTTTTGTTCAGTAGAGGTTGAAAATTCTAGGCCTGAAATGATCCAAAGTATTCTAGTGAAGATGTACAAAGTTGAAAAACACAGTGAAGCAGTTCTTGTATTACCACATGACATCACAAGGTGGAACAATTCAGCCCAAATATGCAGGGTTTGCGTGTTAAACATGTGCGAATGAAACAAAACACAACTCCAGGTCTGTTTGTGGTGAGGAAACAACATTATAACATACTGTAGATCAGAAAATAGAGCAACATGAACCCTTTAAACAGTAACAGAATAGGGTACATCTAGTTCTTTTCATAAAAATTGATCTTCATTGCTTCACTTAAGCACCAAGTTTACCATTTCAGTAAACTCTTCATTCACTTGTACGTGTCTGCTTCCTCTGGCTTTCGGTAGCGACACCTTTTATAAGAAGTTCTTTCTCCTCCAGATTCACGAGCGCATGTTTCTCATTAGTTTCATTGGTGGAACACTCAGAGATTCCAACTGGATCCCGCGCTCGCCAGTTGTTCAGCAGCTGCACTCTTTGACCGCACCAAATTTGGAAAAAAAAAAAAAAAACTTTGTGGGACTTGATGAGTAAAACTTTCCGAAGTACAGAGAAGAGAAAGTGGAAAGGGAGGTGGAAGAGCTGAAGGAAGCAAAAATGGCTGAACCCAAACGCACATGTGGCAATCGGAATCATGGAGTTCATTGTGGTTTAGGCGATAAAATTTGTTGTCACCTTAAAATATATAGCTATCAACATGTGGTGTTTGTTTATCAATAAATCGTCAGCGAGATTGGTTAACTCGGCATTTGGGGGTGATTTGCAACATCGACTTATCAAGAACATTCATATTGATTTCACGTGTCACCACAAATTGGGAAATTTGGGGCCCCGGGGCACGAAAACTCACATGGGCCTCCCCTTTAATACTAATTAATAGGTGGAGGTTCCAATTCTGGGCCCCCTAAGACCTTGAGCCCCAGGACAACAGACCCCTTTGCCCCCTCCCTGTCGACTCCCCTGGTTGTAACTAATGATTATTTTTGACTTGATTCATTTTCGATATGAGACGTTTAGGAGCCTGTGTAAAAAACAGTTAACGATTCTTCGATTTCTGACATAGTGGACAGCGATTTCGATAATCGGTTAGTCACGATTAATCGGTAAACTTGTTGCAGCTCTAGTTGTAAGAGCAAACGCTGTGCTGAAAGTCCAAACCATACCACAGATAAATTGATAAAAAAAAAAAAGAAGAAAGAAAAATAAATAAATTTAAAATAGAAATAAATTTAAATTGTAAATATTAAATATAATAATTACTAAAAATAAATAAATAAATATAAATAATAAATAAAATACAAAATAAATTCAAATATTTTTTTTATTAATTAAAAAGATAATTTATATATTAAAAAAAAAATAAAAATGTAACACAATGTAATAGGAATAAATAGTATAATGCAACTAAATGCAAAATAAATAAATAAATCACTACAATTCATTTGGGTAAATAGTGCCTTTAGCATTCACCAACCAATCTGGATTACCAGCTCAGTCTAGACATAACGGTTGGTGGCAGAAGGGAGGGCATCTGACATAAACTAAATTGAAATTGTTGTGCCACTGTAATGCCCAGATAACTGCAGATTTTAAAGGGGATAAAATACTCTAAGAGGTCTGTGCATTTGTTCAGTTATGTACATTAAAGTTGTAATTCAAACTCATTCAAACATCATGGGGCAGACACATGAGGTGAGGTGTTTTGCCCAAGGACACAACAACAGTGCTACCAATAATACACAGTGTTAGTAACAGGGATTAAACAGGCAACCTATAAATTACCACAAGTTTATTTATTTTTTTAATAACAGTAACCATTTTGAGAACTACTAACTATTCAAAAAGATAGAACATTTATTTTGAGTTGCTATGGTAACTGGATAGGTTCAAGCAAAAAAAAAAAAAAAAAAAAAAAGAATATTTGTTTTGATGTTGTTGCTATGGTTTTTGCCATTTCCCATTTTCTCATCACTCCAAAAACTATGAATGAAGCTACAAGAACTCAAACTAAACTAACATTATGATTGTAACTTTTTTAGTGGATAAAGCATTTAGCTCATGTTATTCAATGCCATTTCCCCTTCCCCAATAAAAGACACTTTATTAGGCTTGTGTGTGGAATTGAACCAGCAGCTGCTCAGAATACACAGATGTCACATGGTCCCAGTGCCCGTAAGCTGAGGTCACGTCAGTTCAAGTAAAACTATATTAGACTGGAATTCCTTGAGATAAGAGTACAGATCGGTATAGATTGAATTCCTACTTTATTTACTGTTGATACTTTGCAGCTGATGTCGCCACCATTCTCCAGGGGGTGTGACGCTAACTGTAGGCATGTTCTGTCTGAAGCTCTGTTAGACTTTCCGAGCTTTATGTGAACGCAATCTGACCGTAAAGACCCGACTTAACTCGTGACGATCGCAGGGCTCCTGAAAATGCGCCGTTTCAAATCTCTTTCGTATTCTTTCTTGAGTTTTCAGACCATCTTAAAAACTTTTTTGACATTAACTGTAGGCATACTCTGTCTTGAAGCTCTGTTGGACTTTCTGAGCTTTATGTGAACACAATCTGACCCTAAAGAACTGATTTAACTCGAACCAATCGCAGGCTCCAGAAAATGCGCAGTTTAAATCTGTTCCATATTCTTTCTTGAGTTTTCAGACCATCTTAAAAACTTTTTTGACGCTTAACTGTAGGCATGCTCTGTCTGAAGCTCTGTTAGACTTTACGAGCTTTATTTGAACACAATCTGACCGTAAAGAACTGATTTAACTCGAACCAATCGCAGGCTCCTGAAAATGTGCCATTTAAATCCATTTCGTACTATTTCTTGAGTTTTCAGACCATCTTAAAAACATTTTTGATAACTTTTTCCCATCTTTTTTGCAAACTTTTTTCTATCTTAAAAACGTTTTTGACGCTAACTGTAGGCATGCTCTGTCTGAAGCTCTGTTAGACTTTCCGAGCTTTATTCGAATTGAATCTGACCGTAAAGAACTGATTCAACTCGAACTGATCGCAGGCTCTTGAAAATGCATCAATTAAATCCATTTCATATTCTTTCTTGAGTTTTCAGACCATCTTAAAAAACTTTTTTGCAGCGTGTGCATTCTGTCACCATGGCAAATGCTGAACATTCCGCCATAGACATCCATGCGGAACCCCTCCCCAAGCGTGATATCACTGTAAAGTATCAAAATAAGGTGAGATAACAGAATTCATTGTGATTCTAATTTAGGTACTAGTGCTGCAAATTGAACTGTCTTGTGAAATAAAGTATTAAAAGTATTCAGTATATTCTGTGATAAACACAAAATATATAAACACATAAGTTGGGACTAACCAAGAACTAAACCAGGGACTAGAACAGGACCTAACCAAGTCTACTTCAGGACTTAACTTGGCCCAAAGCAAGTGTGAATGAACTCAGAGACATTTTACACATAGGTGAAGTTAAAGTTAGTAAGTATAAGTGCAGTAGCAGTAGTAGTAGTAATAGCAGTAAGTGTTGCAGTATTAGTAAATAGTTTGACCATATATGGCATTAAGAAGTCAAAAGCTCCCCAAATGTAACTTAAAATACTGGATTTTTTTTTTTTTTTTCATTTATTCTCATTATCATTTGTGCACAGTCATTCAAACAGTGGTATGTCCCAAGCTGCTGTCACTGTCACAAACAAAATAAAAATAAAATATATAAAAAATATATACACACAGAATAACACAGACCAAAAATATTAAGAAAAGAGAACTTACTGGATTCATTTTGGCAGATTTTTCAGCTGCAGCACCAGAGGAAGAGAAAGAAGGAGTGGAGAGTTCTGGAGACTGGAGGGCAGAGCATGGGCTGGGGCTGGATATTTATGCAGCAGAGGGCGGGGCTTAGATGTGACAGGCAGACTCCACAGCCAATCAGAACGCAGTCCTGGATAATATGGACAGATATATTTTTAAAAGCTTTTGGACATCAGTCATCTGAGTGTGCTTTGCATTTTTTCACTTTTAAATTGCTGTTCCTTGCATTTGCAACACTACAAGAACTTTTTTCTGTTTCATTTGATATAAGTGACATAATACCTACATTGTACTTTTATAATGTTAAAAAAAAACATCTTAATTTATTGTAATTTAATGGAATTTTATTTTTATTTATTTATTTAGCAAATTTAGCTAATTTAGTTGGAAATGTAATGGTACATGTATGCATCACATTACAGTACCTTACACCCACTGTTATGTTGTATAAATGCTGAGTTATTTGGATGACTTTGGATACTTTTTACAATATACTCTTGTAGTAGTAGTTCAAAGTATTCTCTGACTACAGTATATTTGGCTATACTACTCTTGGCTGCCCCCCAAGTGATTGTAAATACCACAGTGAGTACTGCATAGTTCTGAGTTAGTCTTGACAGGAGTTTGTTAAACTGTTACTTACTGGTGTACAGAGCAGGACCCTGAACGCACCACAGACTTACAGACTTGCAGACTACTCCAGCAGCCCGTGACCAAAATAGAAGTGAATTTGTTACCACGGAGATGGCTAAATATTTGGCAGGCTCTAGACATCTTTCACTGCACACTGCATTTAGCGACTGCAGTGTCCAGTTACAATGTTTATGTTCAGTGGGACAGCTGGACAAATGGCTTAAAATGCACCAAAATGGCCAAAATAAGTTAGAACAGATATGTCAAACTCAGGTCCGGGAGCCAAATTTGGCCCACAATATAATTATTTTTGGCCTGCGAGGTCATATCAAACATGGATTAGAGCTGCCCACCAGCTATAGAGGCTATAGAGACATTATTGATTTAAAATGTTGTTATTGTTTTATGCATTTTATTTATGCTTTTTTCTGGATTCAGTGTTTAAGCAAAACAATTATTAAACATGTATTTTAATAAGAAAAGGTTTAACATTACATCTTACTTCTCAAAAGAAGAGAAAATATGCAGATGTTGTTGAAATTTTGGCCCACGACTTCGTTTGGTCCCCCTAAATTAGAATAATCAGCCAGGTCTAAGATAACTAGGCTGAAGAGGACATGTGTAATGCATAAATCAGCACTAAATGCAGGATTAAATCTGGACTAAACCAGGTCTAAACCAGTTCCCACCAGGACCAATCCAGAGTGATGTTTTCTCACATCTACATATTTCGGAGGCCTTCTGCATCTTTCCTTAGAAGGAGCCATGATTGGACTGGGCTTGGTGGTCTTATTAATAAAAATCTCATTTGTACCTGAATTATACTTTTTATAAAGACGTGTGATACGTTGGTTCCAGCATCAGTATCGACCGATATCGATGTTTAAATGCTACCGATATTGGCCAATATGAAAAGTTCATTTGTTATCTCTACTTGAATTTATGGTCATTGCTGTGGAATTAATATTGGCTCCATATCAGGTCATCCTTACTTTTTAATCGTAAGCAGATGATGTTAGGTCAGAGGTCTTCACCCTGGAGCTCTCCACTCCCTTCCATGCAGTTCAATAAATAATAATCAATTATATGTACTGTAAAGAAAAACTAAAACTGTAAATTTATTATTTTGATGCCTAACTTTGTATACTACAATCATGGAAATCCTCAAAAAGTCATGGAATTTTTGTCTCTTTCACGCAGCTACAGCGTTCTGTTAAGTTTTCATAAGACTATTATGATTATTTCTGAATATATGCACCTTTTGTTTAAAAGAGACAATAAATGACTGTATTTTCAATGGTAAAAAACTATAATCCCAGTGGAAAGAGTTAACATTTCATATTTAGCCCTAAAAGTCTGATCAATTCTGCACATGTAAGTGCCGTAAAGTCATGGAAAATTCACTTCAGATCATGAAAAAGCCATGGAAAAGTTTTGAAATTTTGTCAATGAAAAAGAGTGGAAACCCTGGATAATAGTTTATAGTTTATAGGCATCTAACTGTACCGCTCGCCGTGGCTCTTATATGTACTAAATTTCTTGCAAAAACTAAAATGTAGCTCTCTGGCATTTTTGTTTGGTAAAAGTAGATCACTGGAGAAAAAAGGCTGGAGACCCCTGTGTTAGGTTTTGCCCACTTTACACAATATGGACTAAACCAGACTATCACCTAACACTATCACCTATCACTCCAGAGCAGATAACACTCATATATTGACTGCTAAAAATGCACAAACTTGGATGCATGCTGTAGGGAAATGGCAAAACTGCATGCAGAACTTTTGCTGACTTAACAGGTCTATGGGGTGACTCTTATGCAATCTGTGAATATTCTGTTTAGTCACTTATTCACTCAGAACATCATGTGTGTTGTGTCCTCGCAGCCAGTCTCAAGACAGTCAGGAGATTTCAGTGTTTCAGAAAAAAAAAAAAAAAAAAAAAAAGTTTGAAAAAAATGGGCCAAAGCACACATACAGCAAACAGTATAAAGATCATTTAAGTTTTGACACTTTTAGGACAAGATTAAAAAATGTGGCAACAATTTGAACATAACTTAATTTGTAATATTTAAAACTTTTTAAACTATAAAGAACTACTATATATTTTGTCATAATGTCTAGTAATAGGGGCCCGGTCAAGCAGAAGTAAACAGCAAGGCCAAAAATTCAAGTTAATGCATCTGATATAAAAATGTATTCAACAGATACATATGTACTCTAGTTCACAGGTGTCAAACATACGGCCCGGGGGCCGGATCCGGCCCTCTAAGACCTTTAATCTGGCCCTTGGCTGATTTTCTACTAAAATATTTTAATCATATTTTCTATTAAAATATTGGTCATTTTCTGTTCCGCTCAGCATAGCAGCATCTCCAGCGTCTCTGTACGTGGCCCCTCCCTCCAGAGCAGCACAAATGAAGACTTGCCTCTTTCCAAACGCTCTTAAAGGACGATCGTTTTGACTGTTGAATGTGACACCCTCATCAGCAAAATGTCAAAAATGAGAAAAGTGGACGCTGAGTGCAGGATTTTCCAAGAAAAATTGACTTATTCCTATTTGCATACAAGTTAATGTTAAAACATTGTGTTGAAATTGTTGGGTTTTTTTTCATAATATTATACTGTAATATTTTGTAAAAGAAAGAGTTCATCAATTAAAAAAGATTTCTGTAATAGATTTGCGTTTCTCTGCACACATATTTGAACTTATTGCTGTTTTTGGGGTTTATATACCATGAGTTTTCTGATCCGGCCCCTTTGGGATCAAAGTAGGTTGGATACGACCCCCGGACCAAAATAAGTTTGACACCCCTGTTCTAGTTTATGAAACTGTTTACCTTTTTTCTGTACCATTTTTGGTTCTAAAGTTACATACGTTTTAAACAGACCATGTATGAAACATGGAACAAAAAATATTTCCCAAATTTCAAAGACCTGCAAATCATGTAAATAAATGGATGTATTTCATCATATCTTGTGTTATTCGATCTTTGAACTGTTGATGAAGGTACATGATTTTTTTTTTTTTTTTTTTTTTTTTATGTATTTAAAATGATAAAAATTTGCTTGGAAGGATTGACATATTTTATAGAAATAGTTTCCTTTCATTTTGAAGGAATATTAAAGTATTCAGAAGAAAAAAGTGACAAATTATGCAAAATCATGCACCTTCTACTTGCTTTGCACAATTTTCCCTCCGTTACTTTTCCCTCCGTTACCATGACCTTTCTTAATAAAAAATCTCAAAACTCAAAAAGTAAGAGGTTTTTCAACCTAATCTTGTGCCATATGGTAGAAAACTATATGAAGCAAATATTCAAACCAGTTTGTTAAGGATATGTAAGTGAGAACCAAGAGTTATCACTGTTTGTATTTATTGCCCAAAAAGTGCTGCATATTTCATTCCCTACGTTACCGACATGAGTTTTTAAATTTTTTGTCAACAACCTGAAAGAATATCACAGGTTTAACTTTACCCTGTTGGAGTGTTAACTCTTTCCTACATTCTAATACCTTACTTATTTCAATAGTCCCTCTAGTTTCTGAATAAGAGCTATTTGAATGTAAAAAATCTACCCGTTTCCCTCCGTTACCGCTTGACCGGAATATTATTAAATGTCCTATATTACACACACACACAAAAAAAACTCCTGTGAGCTTTAAGCCAAGTTATAACCTTTTCAAGAACACACCTGGGTTTTTTTTTGTCTCATTCGCATGTTTAAGAAATATTTATTATTGTTTCATATTTATTTAAGAATTTGAAACCTTTAGCTCTGTCAAGAAAAAAACAGGAGTGGACCTAAAATGCAGGACTTATTTAAAGTTAAAGCTAAAAAAAATAAAAATAAAATCTACAGGCACACATATAGACCTGCTGTACAAGAGTTCACCACCAGATGTCCCCATTTCCTCATGGAAGTTATTTAAAGTTAATAAAAAGAACCAAAAAATCCATAAACCCAAAAATCGAAACTAAACTGCCATGACAGGACAAGACGAGACACTGAAAATGATAATGGACCAACAAAGGGCAGAGAAGAACACAGGGTATAAAAGCACACAGACACAGGGTGGAACACATCAATCAATCAATCAAACTTTATTTGTAAAGCACTTTTCATACATTTGAAATGTAGCACAAAGTGCTTCACATGCAACAGAAAAATTACAATACAACAATTAAAAACAACAGCAACCTGAAGCTCACAAGAAGCCAGCCATGAGGGCGGGGCAAACAATCAAGACACGAAGTAAAACTCAAAACTACAAGAAGACAGGAAAATTTCATACTAAAAGGGCACACAACACTAAAGGAAAAAGATACACCAAAATAAGCAAAAGCAACCACTACGGAACACTTTTACATAAATATGTTTTTTAATAGTTGCCGTACCTCGATCCTTGCAAAGCCAAGCCATCACCACCAACACCGTCCGTAACACCGGTGTTCTGTTATGCATAAAAAGTTGTTTAAAAAATGTTTAAATGTATAATTCACCTGTTTTTATAATTCTTAAGTTTCGCTTGTGTATGGTGTCATCTAGTGGACACCTTTGAAATTGCACGCAGAGCACATACCAAATCAAACTTTATTGAACGGTGGTAACGGTTGTAAACAGCAGACATGGCAGCACGCAGTTGCTTTCTGAGTCTGCTTTTTTTAATTTTATTTTGAAGTTGCATCGCCGGTACGTAGTTCTACCTATGTTCAACAGCTTGTACTTGTAACTCGTAATTACTTGTTTGTTTTTAATACTAGCATTGTAATATGATAATTATTCAGTGTGTGGAGTTACAACCTTGTACTTACAGTTGTTACTTTGTATTTTTGTAATTGTTATAGACATATTGTAATGTTACGTTTGTCTGCTCTACAGTTTCACCTTTTCAAGCGTCATTAAACCCGCTTAAAGACAACCACGTCTGCAGAGTCGTTGATATGAGAGAAGAGTTATCTTGCATGATGCAGATGCATCTTGCATCTGTCTGTGTGAAAATTTTAATATATAAGTTGCACTGGAGTATAAGTCGCAGGAAACACCCAAATCATGAAAAAAAAGTGCAAATCATAGTCCGAAAAATACGGTAAGTGTATTGAAACAGCGCCTACGTTTGTTAGTCTGAAAACTCACGAACACAATATGCAGTAGTTCCAACAAAGTCAAAATAATTCCTTTGGTGGTTTTCATTTATTCATGTATTTTATTTTTTGCAGGTGTTCAAGACGTGAGTCATGTGACAACCCTGACGACCCTCAGAATTTTCACCTCAGGCTGGACCAGTGTGTGGACGTCCCAACTGTTCCCAAAGCCAAACCCATAATGGACATTAATGTGGCCTGCGGAATTTAAAGAGAAAAAATATATTCTAACCAGCTAAATACTGTAATATCTGTGATGTTAAAAAGTATTTTGATTTATTTTTTAATTTACTGTCACAATAAAATTCAAAATAATGACTCATTTTTTACATTAAAGGGTTTATATTACGGCACCTTTTTCTGATCGATGTTGTTTCCTCGTCACAAACAAACCTGAAGTTGTGTTCTTCTCTCAAACTAAAAACACTGTGTTCCACCTTGTGATGTCATGTGGTAACACAGGAAGTTCTCTACCGTGTTTTTAAACTTCATACACCTTCACTAGAATCATTTGAGTGATTTCAGCCAAGGAATTGCCGATCTCTACTGAACCAAAGGTGAAAGGTGTAAAAGCTCTTGACTTAAAGAAAACTACCACTTCATGACATCACAAGGTGGAACAGAGGGTTTTGAGCTTTGGGGATGTAAACAGACTAATAATAAAGGATTACTCAAACATGTGTGAATGAAACAAAACACAACTCCAGGTCTGTTTTGGAGGAGGAAACATTTAAGCTCACAATTTTTTAACTCACGGTTAGATTCAAACTGGTTACCCCCTGGTTCCTGGGCAAGAACGCAACCCACTACACCACTATCGATGATTACTTCTTTTATCTTTGCAAGGTCTCAAAATGATAGACGTTGCAGTTTATGGCAGAAAACTCGCAATTCAGCTCTGCAGCTCCATAGACTTCCATGAGGAAATGGTGACATCTGGTGGTGAACTCTTGTACAGCAGGTCTACGTGTGTGTCTGTGGATCTTTTTTTTTTTTTTTTTTCTTTAAGCCATGTCATAATGTTGTCCTCTCGTCAAAAACATACCAGCAGTTGTATTTTGCTTCATTCTCGCTTGTTTCGTTAATCCGTTATTGAAAAATCATCTTTTCTGTGCCTCAAAAATTCTCAGTTCGCGTTTTGCTTGGATTTTTGCGTCACAGGTAAAAATCCAGACTTCTCCTGTGCAATTTTTAAGCCCATGAACTATCACAAAATTTATTTTATGTTGACACAAAATTCAAGGGGGATGAGTACTTGTTTTTTCATTGTTCATTCCCTTTGCTGACATCAGAAGGAGCTCTAACATCTATTAGAAACAGAGTTCATATTCAGAATATTTTCTATATGCAGACTTCTACTAAGTACGGAAGCCCTGAGAGGCAAGAGAGAAAAAAAAAAAAAGAAAAAGAGGCAGATAATTTGGGCTCTATTTTCTAATTGTTTTTGTTTTTTTTCCCACCAACTCAAAAAACATTGCTCAGACCATTTTTTTCCAGTTTATTCTTGTAAGTAGAAAACTTCAGTGTTGGCAACCTAGTGGAAGATTAGCTCATGCTGTTAGGCTCTAGGTTAGGACGTGGGAGGCTGGGGTTTGAATCTCATGTGCTCCTTGTTACATACGTGTTCATTCTGGCTCACAAAAGCTCCAGGCTGGAAGACAGGATGCCGCATTGCCTCTCAGATTTTAGTGGAACTGAGGTGCGCCCTGACGCAGATGGGATTTGTGTGGATATTTGTGTTATTACAACATTCACAAGCGACTTTTGGAAGTGTGCGTAAAACCGCTCTTGTCCAACACGGGAGTAGGGTATGCTCCAAGCAAACATGCCTGGTGAGAGGAGCTCATCGGGATACAAATTAAATGTCAAACCGGAGTCATTGGCAATGGTAAAAACAACCTGCAATAGGCTCATGATATCTACAGTACTGTCCTACAGTGACCTGAGACATGAGGGGACCAGGACTAAACCAGGACTAAACAAGGACTAAACCAGGGGCACTTTGAGTGCCACTCCATGAGGAAAACACAAGCAAAGACAAAAAAACAAGTCATCTACCTTAAAACTCAAATGCCGACCCCTTTACGCGATACTGCAGTCCTTTGCCACATAAGCTAAACAGGAGCACATCAACAAAGTACAACAGCAACTAAAGTACAATAGAAAAACAGCGTGTTATGCCTGTATTGTGATCAGTGATGCATCGAGCGTACTTCTCATATTACTCATAAAAAAGAACTCAGAAGTAAAACTCATGAAAAGACTATATTCAGCACGTAACCAGGAGCAGGTGAGTTTTGAACCTCGGCTTCCCACATCCTAACCCAGCAGCTAACACCAGAAACTAATGCTCCACCAGTGGGAAAACGCATAGGTTTTGAGCGGTGTCTTTTTGTTGTTTTTTTTATTTCACTTTGAAAAAATAAATAAATAAATAAAATAAAAGAGTATATATATATATATATATATATATATATATACATTTGTAGAAAAAAAATTGGAAAAAAAAATTTTAGAATTTTTTTTTTTCTTTTTTAGAATTTTTTTTTTTTTTTTGTAGAAAAAGAAAAAAAAAAAGTTTGTGAAAAAACAACACTTAGAAAATAGAGCCCAAATGACCTGGGTCTTTTTTTTCTTTTTTTTTTCTCTTGCCTCTCAGTGTTTCCTTAACTAAGCTATAGTATGTAACTTTTTACCCTAAGAGATTACCATAAAAGCTTTTTGTTTTTTAAACCATTGTTAATTGATATATAACATAATATTTTATTATTATTATTTATCATGATTATAATCCTGACTCTGAGCAGGCTTGCATCTCCACAAACCTGACTCTTACTTGGGCTGGAGGAGGGCCTTATCCTGCTTGTTTCCATGATCATGTTGTTCACTGATACTTTGCAGCGACATCACGTTAGGGAAAGGTTCTACATATGTGTACAGCGTAGATAGAACTACTTACTACTTTCATGCTGGCCATCTTCCTCAGCTCTAAATTGGCTGCTGCAACTTCAGACATTTTTACTTCCTTATTTTTACCGCCCGCGGGACGACGTGACGCCAACCAAGTCATGTGACTAGTTTTTCAGGCAGCTTCACATTACTGTGTGGATAGAGAACGGACACAGAAACGACGTGTCTGGACGCAAATTTTCCAATACAGTGATATGGTGATTCATTTCAGTGTAAATGTTACCTAAGTCAGTTTTTTCTGGTCAGATTGTGCTAAAACAAAGCTCAGATTAAAGTCTAAGAAAGCCTCAGACACACATGTAGCGTCACACCTCCAGTGAACTTTGACAACATCAGCTGCAAAGCGTCAACAATATTCCACAGTCTTGTCCGTCGCCGCAATAAAACAAGACAATGAATTCAGTTTGAGCACGTTTTTATACTGTTACAGGTCAATTCAAATGAACTCACACCGTTGCGGAATGTTGGAGACAAAACATACAAGTCTTAAACAGAAGCTCCAATGAACAGTAACAGATCGACACAAAGAATGGACCTTTGAAATTGGCATTAAATAGCAAATTCTCTACGCAAGCTTCAAAATTTTCTGTTTAAATATTTCACCTATTTTTCTGATTTTCTTTGTTATAATGTTGCTTCCTCATCAAAAACACACCTAGAGTTGTATTTTGTTTCAATCACATATTTTAACGCACAAATCCTGGGTTAGGGTTGCGGAGTTCTTCTCTCACATGGATTTGTAGTAATACAGGAAGTGCTCCACTGTGTTTTTAAACTCTATACACCTTCACTAGACAACCTTCTAACATGACTAAAAGCTCACAATAGTCAATTTTGTGAAATATAGGACCTTTAATTCATTAACTCAATCAAACCCGGGTGACAGCATGTCCACGGAGTTACTTATTATAAAACTTTGCATAAGACTTTCACTTTCCTACTGCATTTTAAAGCAAGACATGTTTATAAAAAATGTGAACTTTTATTTGATCTCGAAGCTGGTGATGTGTGCGTCTCCATCTATGCCAATCAAGGAGTATGTTTCTTGACCCAGGCGGTTTGGGAACTTGAAGGAGGAGCAGTCAGGGAGAACCACCAGGAACTCAGTCGGGTTGAACCTGATGATCATCTGAAATGGTAAAAGAAAAGTTTCAGAATTTTTGGAACTACGATATCGAACGTATAGAGGTGGGTCCAGGTACGAGAACTTTAAAGTGGGACTAAACGCCTAAACTCCGTCCACAAGCACATTTCAAACAGAGCTGCATAACTGGGCAGTTCCTGGAGGACTGACCGTGTGTTCGATTATCTTTCCACTCCCACTTGGACCTCGGATTTGACGTCACGTCGGAGCTTGAAGTGTATTATTATGTTTCGCTTGTCGGGCTATATGGATTATGATTATGACTGTTCCCTCATCTTATGAAAATGCTGCCAGTTTAACTAATTTAATTTTTGAAATTTGTACTTCATTTTATGTTATGATTTCTCTTCCATTACAACCTTAGGGACGTTAACGCCTGATAAATCAAGTATTTGTTCAATATTCCCTCACAACAACACGACTACCAAACCCACAGGCAGTGATACGGATGTGGTAAAGTATTGCAGTAATACAAGTGAGTGAAATTGTCATTTAAACCACCGAAGTGGCCAAACACAATATAAACACTTAATATTTACACGTCACAGTGGGCGTAACCATCTTGGATTCTGACTCGGAATCCTTGTTCGGTTGAGTCATTCATGCGATGCAAGGTTAGTTTTATTTCAAACATTATTCTATCAACACAGACATTCGCATCGACAGTTTGGTGTAATAATAGATTTGCTTCAAGTGTTTTGTGGAGTGTGTTAAGGTGGGGGACGAGGGACCCAAAAGCAGAATCAGAACAAAGTCAAGTTTAAGCAGTTTATTGTACAAACGCAGGCAGGCTGAGGAGGCAGGGAGCTGGCCAACTTCTCCGGAGGCAAAGGCAGACGATCAGGAGACACCGAACAGGACGGAATTATCTGGCAAAGTGGTGATGAGAAGACCAGGGCTAAATACTGAGGTAGATGAAGGGATTGATTGCAGGTGTGTCTCGTCTGCTCCGGAAAAAGCCAGCCACGCCCCCTGCCACATTCAAGCTCTGAAACAGAAAAGGGAGGGGGAGAGAACAAAAAACACAAATCCTAACAGAGTGGGTAAGACTGTTTTTAGTGGCAGGATAACTATGACCATTGACATGTACTAGTCTAGCACCAGCGACCTCTGCAAATACAAGGACTGGATGAAATATTTTAAAAAGTGTCTCCACACGTCTTCAACAACTTTTTGGCTCTCAGGAATTGTTTTCCCTGTAAAAGGGGCGTGGTGCAAACAACATGCTCTGTGTGACTTTTTTTTTTTTCGATTCAATTACAGATGTTTAATGTGTTGATATGTTTAATGCCATACTGTGGGACATTTTTTTTTTTTTAACCAACCAATAGTAGAAAGAACTGAAAGTAACAGTGTGATTGCATGGAGTCTTGTTACCCTGAACTCTTCTCCCGCCTTGAAGGGGAAGCTGGTCTCCTTCTGCTCCTCGCCCCACACACCATCCTTGTACGAGTTACACACCACAGTGTTCTGATCACAGCCATAATGGAAGCGAGGGTTTACGTGTATGGCGTTATTGTTCTCATTCGGACCAATGTTCACCGAAAACCTGCACAAGAGGACACACACGATACAGTCACTCAACACAGAAGAACACACAAGTGAAATGTTAGAGAAGCCCGATTGTGCTTGTGTCTGCTCTAGAGTTAAAATCTATGACACCTGTGGATTATTATGTTAGAATTTGGACATTTTAAATCACAATATTTATTTATTTAGACAAACCTATTGTGCAAAACTGACCTTTCAGAACTTTTAACCATGTTATAGTTGTCTCCTCTTCTCACTGACACTTTCCAAGTTGTATTAGGAGTGATTCATGCATGTTTGAGCAATATTTAATCGTTTATTTTCAAGACGCCATATTTCTGCTCAACTCCCGTTTTAACCACCAGTGCTCTTCACTTAATCCGTTCTCCAGTTTTATTTTCTTAAACAGTCATATATGTAGCATTCAGCAATGTCGTGAAGTCATTTCAGGACAAATGAAAAAAAAAATCTGCTACTCGTTAGTGTGATCTGCTGTTAACCGTCTGAGTATTTGATGAGTTTCTGACAAATTATAACATGGTTTAACTTTTAAACTATCATTACATGACATCACAAGGTGGCACATTTTTAGCTTTGGAGATGTAGACAGATTAATAATAACAAATTACTGTGTGAATGAAACAAAACCTGACAGACCTAGAAATTCCCAAAATGACTTAATGCAAAAGGCAAGTTAAAACTGTAACAAGTATTTTATTTCTTATTTTAAGTTTATACAAAAGTGTGCACATACTTTTGGTTATTGACCTCATGTCGAATGGAGTTACCTTGTGGGGTCAGGTTTGATCTTTCCAACCAGAGTCAGGGTCTGTCCCACCTTAAAGGTGATGTTCTTCACGAGCATTACTCTCTGTGGGCGCAAAGAACGACATACAGTAAATCATATGAACAACTGAAATACATGAGGCTCAGTGAAGGAATTCTGGAGTTTCTGAGCTTTCACTTGAGGCACAGTCTGTCCATATACTGAGAATGAGACAAACTTAGATGTGTCTCTATCTGCAGGTTAAGTCTCTGGTAACACAGGTTCAGCTGTGAGTGTAGTACTTTTTGAAACAGTAAAAGCATAAAGTTCATACAGTTCTTCATTACACCTCAACCTGCCAGAGTCTAAGTGCCAAGTTTAACCTTCACTAAACTCTTCATTTGTTTTCTTGTGAAAAAACACCTTTCATAATGAGCCTTTTTATAAAACAAGAGGGCCAGCACTCTTTACAGACAATCATAACCACACACTTTACTGGAACTAGAGCTGCACCCCCTCCCCACCCCAAGAGCCACTGGAGCCCATTGTGGTACCCGTGTTCCTAGGGGTCTCCCATCCAAGGATTAATCAGGCTCAGTCCTGCTTAGCTTTGAGAGGAGACACTGACAGCAGGTAGGAACAAAAACTGATGCAAAACTAGATCCTCATTTGAGCAGGTATCAATAATATAATTGTTAATTGTATTAGCACATAGCAGCATGGTGGCTGATTATCAGCACTCTAGTGTCACAAACAAAAAGTTCTGGTTCTGGTTCTGTGCAAAAATGGATCTTATCTTAAAATGAAACAACAGATCATTATCCCAAGTTGAAAATTACATAAAACTGTATTCATTCAAATTGGTTGCAAGTAAAAATGTGCTTTTAAAATTAATATTTACATTTATGACTACTCCATATTTACATTTATAACTCCTCTTAACATTGCTCCTCAGGCTCTCCATCTCTTCCTCTTCCACACCACTAGTGTCAAGTCCCTTTATTTTCATTAAAGGAACCTTAATGAAAACTTGTACCGATTGCAGGTTCCTGAAAATGCTCCGTTTAAATCAGTTTCGTATTCTTTCTTGAGTTTTCAGACTATCTTAAAACTTTTTTTCCATCTTTTTTGTAAACTCTTTTCCATCTTAAGGCAAGGCAAGGCAAGTTTATTTGTATAGCACAATTCGTACACAAAGTAATTCAAAGTGCTTTACAGAATAAGAAATACATTAAAATCATAATAAAAACAAATCAAAACATAAATAATCATGAAGATTAAAATTGCAAAAGAGAGAAAACTGTAGGCACGCTCTGTCTGAAGCTCTGTTTCTTTCCGAGCTTTATTTGAACGCAATCTGATCGTAAAGAACTGACTTAACTCTTTGCAGTTTGTGCATTGTGTCAGTGTGGCAACTGCTGAACATTCCGCCATAGATCTACATGCAGAACCCCCTCCCCAAGCGTGATATCACTGTAATCAATGTATCAAAGTAAGCTTAGATAATAGAATTAATTGTGATTAGTACTGCAAAGTGAACTGTAGTTTTCCTCGGGGAAGGTCAGGAGAAATGGAAATGGAATTATAACATGCTTGACTGATATTAAGGAAAGTGACACCCAATATTATTCTGGCATCTGGAAATATTGGAAGAGCAGCTGTATGTATTTTAACTATATGGATCTAGCATCGCTGTAGTGTGTGTGTCTGTGTGTCTGTGTGTGTGTCTGTGTGTGTCTGTCTGTATCTGTCTGTATCTGTCTGTGTCTGTGTGTACATATATATGAATGTAGTGTATTGTGGGTATTTGTCTATCTGTGTATGGCTAGGACCCTGAGTCTAAAGTCTCTATTAACTCTATTAAAGTTATAAATAAAAGTTGGGACCAACCAAGAGCTAAACCGGGACTAGAACAGGACCTAACCAAGTCTACTTTAGGACTTAACTTGGCCCAAAGCAAGTGTGAATGATCTTAGAGATATTTTACACATGGTGAAGTTAAGTTAGTAAGTAAAGTGTATTCTTAAGTAGTAGTAGTAATAGCATTAAATATTGCAGTAGTAAGTAGTACTAAGTATATATTGGGATGAAATACTTTGACCATATATGGCGTAAAGAAGTCAAAAACTCTCCAAATGTAACTTATATTATCGGATTTCCTTTATTTCATTTAACCAAACACATAACCATGCAGTGGGACATACCACTCAAACAGTGGTATGTCCCAAGCTGCTGTCACTGTCACAAGCAAAATAAAATAATAATAAAAAAAAAATATTAATAATAATAATAATAATAAATATTAAGAAAAGTTAACTTACTTCATAACCTGGATTCATTTCTTCAGATTTTTCAGCTACAGCCCCAGAGGAAGAGAAAGGAGGAGTGGAGAGTTCTGGAGACTGGAGGTCCTGGTATGAGCTGGGGCTGGATATTTATGCAGCAGAGAGCGGGGCTTAGATGTGACAGGTGGACTCCACAGCCAATCAGAACGCAGCCCTGGAAGGCAAGAAACAGTCAAACTCAAAGAAACAGATACTTGGACACAGTTTGGAAAGTACAGTAGATACTGTATGAGGTAGTAGTAGTAAGCAAAGGGTAGTTATTAGTTGCATTTTGTTGAGTAACTGTAAAAGTAAAAGTGTAGGTTTATCACCAAGTACTTTTTACTTAAATCTCTTTTTACCATACCAAGTGCTTACTGCTGTTTTGAAGTAACTATACTTCTAGGCTAGTTTTTGTCTTACTACTATGTGCAAGACTAATGTGACAAAATTTAAAAGTGAAAAAATGCATAGCACACTCAGATGGCTGATGTTCAAAAGCTTTCATTATTATTATTATTATTTTAAATAACATTTTGGCAAAAAGTCTTTGTCACATTTATTTATTTATTTATTTTTGCTTTGGACCACAGGATACACTACCGTTCAAAAGTTTGGGGTCACATAGAAATTTCCTTATTTTTGAAAGAAAAACACTGTTTTTTTTAATGAAGATAACTTTAAACTAATCAGAAATACACTCTATACATTGCAAATGTGGTAAATGACTATTCTAGCTGCAAATGTCTGTTTTTTGGGGCAATATCTACATAGGTGTATAGAGGCCCATTTCCAGCAACTGTCACTCCAGTGTTGTCTAATGGTACAATGTGTTTATGTATTGTGTCAGAAGGCTAATGGATGATAAGAAAACCCTTGTGCATCATGTTAGGACAGCTGAAAACAGTTTAGCTGGTTAGAAAAGCTATAAATCTGACCTTCCTTTGAGCAGGTTGAGTATCTGGAGCATCACATTTGTGGGGCCGATTAAACGCTCAAAATGGCCAGAAAAAGAGAACTTTCATGTGAAACTGGACAGTCTATTCTTGTTATTAGAAATGAAGGCTATTCTGTGTGAGAAATTACCAAGAAACTGAAGCATATTTGACCTTGGTTAACTTGAGCTTCAAGTGAGCTTGACCCAGTTTCAGCCTGTAACATCCAGTGTACCCCGGTTATGTGTGTGCCAACTTGTGTAATGATTAGGTAAATATTTTAACCCACAGATGGTTCAGACATTGCCGAAATCGCCTGTGCTTTATAACGGCGTGACGTTTCAATTGACCCGTGTGACTCTCAAATGACCTCGACACCAAACGTCGGGCACAGGGGTTTGACCCATGTACCAAATTTGGTGACAGTTGGTCCATAAATGGCAGAATTATCGTGGGTGGACAGACACACAGACACAGGGTGAATACTAAACCTGGTCAACCCTTCCGGGACCAGGTAATAAAAAAAAGAAAAATATCTAAGAATTAGGGGAGCCGTTAACTGAATTGGTGGATTCGTTAACGGCATCTTATTTTCTTGCTGACAATGTTGACACAGACTCAGATGTTTCAGCGATTCTGACACTGCACAGTTCACAACATACAGTTTGACTGATCCAAGGATGCACAAAATTTACTTCTGTTGTCACACTCTACTTAAGCACAATTTTCTGCATATAAAACAATAAAACTTCCTCTTTTTGTCTTTCTTTTTTCCTTTTCAAACGTTTTGTTTCTTTCATTCCTTTTTTCCTTTTTTAATGTGTTGCCACAGGTCAGAACAGGCATACATTTTTAGTCTTCTTCATACATTTTATATTTAGAAAAGATAATATATACATTCTTAAACCTGGAAGAGATGTACTAGGCCTTTGAATTTACTCTCCCTCATGAGAAAGTAGCCCGTCTTTACACTCAGCTACACAGGGAATCTCAC